GGCTTCCCTCTATCCCCAGATACACGTGATCCACGTTCCCTTGTCTCCTACTACACCCTCGTGAAAGTACATGTGGATACCTTCTTTGAAAATATGCTCAGTGCTGCGTATGTAACACCGACACTCGCTTGAATCAACCACTGACCGTATATTGTACAGCGCCTCCGACATGTACAAGATGTGGCAGAAAGTCGGCAAAGAGAGAAATCCTGACGAGTGGGAGATGACACCAGCAACTGTAAATGCATACTATAACCCCCCTGCCAATGAAGTAAGTGGATTCGTACTGTCGAGGCGCTAGACTGACAGAGAACAAGATCGTCTTCCCAGCTGGCATCTTACAACCTCCTTTCTTCTCCGAGAGCTGGTATGAATATATGTCACTATTTCGCAGCCCCCTTCTCATACACACTTCCATATACAGGCCTGGATACCTCTCCTACGGCTCCTTTGGAATGGTAGCTGCGCACGAATTGACTGTAAGTTCGTTGCATTGCATTTTCCATAAGCACTGGCCTAAATATTATTAGCACGCATTTGATTCCTCAGGTCGTCTTTACAACCAACAAGGAAAACTCGAAGAGTGGTGGTCACGCCAGACTAGCGACGCGTACCAAATTCGCCAGGACTGCATCGTGGAGCAATACTCGTCATATACAGTAGAGGACGGCAAAGGAGGGATCATCCACGTTAATGTATGTCACATTATGCTCCCTGTGTATAATGATTGACCAGTTGATCCACAGGGAAACCTGTAGGTCCATGGTCGTAATGTTTAAGCTTGTTAACGTTACTAATTGATGACTTTCAAGTACCTCTGGCGAGAACATCGGAGACACGGGTCTGATTCAGGCGTATCGGGCTTGGAAGGCGCAATACGAAGATTCCTATGACGCCGGAGCGGAATATCTGCTTCCCGGTCTTGGCTACACTCGGTTTGCGATACTAGATTTATAAATGAAATATTCAGGCACTAATGCTAAGTTTAGGGAGCAGCTATTCTTCATCTCGTTTGCCCGCACATGGGCGATGAACACCAGTCCTGCTGATGCAGTAAGTGTTTTACCTATATCAAGACCCATGTCAATATATATAATCTTGCAACAGGTTCGACGTGTCCGGTCAGATCCTCACTCGCCGAACCGTTATCGCACTGAAGGCACTGTCTATAACATTCCGGAGTTTGCAGAAGCCTTCAAGTGCTCGAGATATGCCAAGGCAAGTGCGAGCACATGACACAGACTTCTACTAACACATTATTTGACAGCTTAATCCACCCCAAGAGAGAAGATGTATCTTCTGGTCTTGATCTGTTGTTTTTCAATGCCCTGTTCTATGACATTCGCTTTCTTTGGTTAATATGTGGCTCGAACACTGCAGTCTGTACATTATCTATTGCAATCACTTCATTATCCTTTTATACCGCTGTGCATCAAGATCGCAGGGTTCGTACTGATGCTAAATTTATCGTGTCACAGAACTCCTTTAGTACTCGGAATATCGTCGCCACCAGTGCGTTCGATAGCTTGTTTGATAGCAAGGGCAAGTGCCTTGAATGCAGATTCGGATCTGCAACTGTTGACTGAGTGCTGTCGCTAGATTAAGGAGCATTGGGCAAACACACCTGTGGTGATCGTTCTCGCCCCGTAGGACGTCGACGTGAAGAGTCACACCAGAAGCTATGGCAAAAGAATAGAATATATGGGGGATCATTTCTGTCGACAGGTCTCCTATTTTCTCCCTCTTTAAGCCTAGATCAGTGACACAGTACGGTCTAGAGCAGATATCAATAACGGCTCGAGAGAGAGCCTGGAAATTGTCAAATGGACATGTGCATCGCTGCCTATCGGTCACTCACCTCATCCAAGGGTGCAAATCCAGTTCCGTATCGACGAATTCCGCGGACTTCACCAAGAGCTTCCTTGAAAGCCGTTCCAAGGGCGATTGCGCTATCTTGTAAATACCGCGAATGTATTGGTCAGTGATTCTTGAGCACATGTGAGAATACTCATCTGCTGTGTGATGGTCATCGATCCATAAATCGCCTTTACATTTCATAGTGAGAGACATCCCACCATGCTTTGCCAAGGCATGATACATCTAGAGAACTCAATCAGCCGGAGTCTGGTGTCACAAAGATATCATTCATACGTGATCCAGAAAACCAATTCCCGTTGAAATCTCAATTACCTGGGCATTTTGAGATCCAGGAGTACAGTCAAGATTGATAGATATTTCTATCTGTGTCTCGTTGGTCTTTCTTGAGATCGTAGCTGTTCGTGCTGCCATGATCAACTACTAGAACAGTCTGAACCGGTCACCCAATTGGGTTATTTTAGAAGGCTTTGGACAACAAGAACAAACAACCGTCTAAAAGATCTCGAACAACAGCAACAAACACCTATGTACTTATGGCTTCTCCGCTTCTTCGCTCAAGGTCAGCACTGCGAGCTGTCTTTGGGTCACAGACTTGTCAACGATCACTATGTGCCAATCGGCCTAGAGCTAGAAACATTTTTAATTTCTTTCGCCGGTCTGCCAAACCAGCACAAGAAGAACCCGTTCCGTTGCTGACTGAGGACAACTTATTTCATCCGTTCTCGAAATCTCCATTTCCTGCAATACGTGCTCGCGGAGAAGCTATACAGTCACTGGCCAAATGTCCAGTGTGCACCTCAAGCCATTGCAGCACCCATGCGCACACGACATCACAGTCCCTCGCAGTAAAATTTGAATGCCCCGACTGTGGTTTCCCGACACATTGCTCACAGGAGCATTGGATGGCTGATCAAGAGCACAAAAAATACTGCTCTAAACTTCGAGAAGTTAACGAGGATGACCATGATCTCCGAAGTGGTCGAAAGTTTCGTGAATTTGAGATGCCCGGTGCGTTATTTGGTCTTCGACTTGGGACATTTCAATTAATTCACTTACTAGGACCACAGGCTTATGAGGAGGCTATATCATTCGCAAATTGGGACGTCTTTTGGTATACACGTGGATTTCCCTCCATGGACACGGAACGTTCAAGAAGACACGCTAGCAGAATTCTTACCTATCCGCTCACTATTGGTTCTATTCTTCATCAAAATAGTGGACTGACTTTAAGCAATCAAAGAGTTACACCTGAGGGAAGTCGCTCACTGGCAGGTAAGTTTGTACTATACATTTCCAGGTCTTCCCCTCACAATTCACATCCAGCACTGCGCACCACGCTGCATGTCCCTCCTGGAGCACCTGATACAGAAGAGGCTGGTGCCGCGAAACCTCAGATTCGTATATTCATCCTCGGCGCTCGCGCTGAGTCCTCTTTGCCACCGCATGTCTGGGAGCAACTTTGCATGTTGTTCCCGTCCTGTCATTTCCACCTTTTCTTTATTGGGCCACAAGTATCTTTGCCGAAACCGGCTAATTCTCCTCCTCCGAAACCTCCCAATAATTCTGCAACGAAAGAGGATACTGTCGCCAACCACTCTGCGGTGGAAAATGTATCTACGACGCACACATCTACCGACACTGTCAAGCAACGGGAAGAGGACAAACCAGTTTACGTGCCGAACGTCTATGAACCTCCAACACCAGCACCTATCGCGCCCTTTAAGCGAACACGATCATCAGTCGAACTCTATGGCGTTCCCTCTTACACCGTTCCTTATACCCCTCAGCTCACCATTACTGGTCTTCAAGCGAACTATGCTGAAGTTCACGCACAGTTTCAGGATACCTTTGATCCCTACACAGACGCGTTTTTCCTGTTCTCTCCTGGTTTTGGCTTCCCGTCGCCCAACTCCGTATCCGAACTAGATGGCAAGCCCTACTTGCAGATTACTTCCCCAACAGAGTGGGGCCCTGTCATGCCAGCCTTACTCGCAACCCGTTGTGCCATCTACGTAACAGGTTTTTCCCCTGCAGATGTCGAGAGAGATATTCGTTCCATCGAGAGTGCACCAGATGTTGCTTGTGAGTTCGAGTGGGTGATTACTCCGGGGGAGAATGCATTTGGGAGCGAAAAATGGGAGGTCGCAGACTTTGACCCTAGAGTCATGGTGAAGACGAACTGGGGTGTTTGGGGTATCAGGGGCAAGGGCCGAGAAGTGAGGGAGCGTAGCTCATTCAGATTATTCTAGATTGTATCGTATGTCTGACAATACGATCGATCATTAATGCATTAATATGCATGGCGGATCACACTCGTTCATGAAGGCGAGGTATATCACACTTTATGACTCGGATCTACAAGTAGCCATAAGACAAACAAATGACTACGTCTCGTCAGTTCGATGTAAGGTGAACAAAGATATAGAATCAACCCGTTTACATTCGAAGGAACGTTACCATGAATTACAAAACAGTGTTCAAATGTCGCTGACATTATACCGTGTGTATTTGTTCGCAGGATTGGAAGAGAAGTATATATCTCGTCCACAGGAAGTTAACTCTGATCGTGGTATCAGTTGCGGTAATTACACGAGAATTGAGAAAGAGAAAATAGATACCCGTGGTGCATTTCCGAGTCTTCTGCTGAGAATGAAAACGGAGATAATCACCGATTGTCTTCTGTGTCAAGAGGTTGAACGAACAGGGGAGGTGTGGTTTGTACAGGCCGGTTACTGAAGACAACCGACGTGGAATGCGCGAACTTTACTATATTGGAATTTCAGAGATCTAGAGACGGAGGCGGAAGCGCGCAATGATCCTGGAGGGCCCGGGCAAGCTTGCTCAAACTCAGACGGAGCTTCGGAAGTGGAGTCAAGGATAGACGGATTCATCCGAATCATCAACATTGTTCTGTCATCGATCCGTCCCAGTAAACGGTTCTATTCTCCGCACCGTAAAGACAGCAGACTGCCAAGCGCACACAGACAGGAGTGCTGGAGGTGTATGGGAGTCAAGCGAATTGCTTCCGCGGGATCAGCCATTTTTTTCGTTTTTACTTATTAGGAAGGCATCGGGTCACATTCAGTAGTAGGGCGTCACACACTGTGATTTCAAGTTGTGCAATGTGCATGAGCCCTACCTCAGATAGAGCAGGGGTGGAACCTTTTCTTGGCCTAGCCTATCTTGTGAGTTGCAGTATCTCAGACATCTCAAAAAGAAAGGCAGTACTTGTACCCACTTGGGCGCGACAAGTAGACGCGGATCCTGAACAAGTTCCCGACCTTCTCGAGGCTCTCGTAGGTGCGTATATTCTCCCACCGGATGCATTGCATATCAATTCACGACCATATCAAGTATACATATCTTACTTTACAGTGTATTGTCCGACCTGTTCTGCATTATCATGACGAGCTCAGGCAACGCGGCGAGAACATCCCATTTCTATCCCTGAGCAACACGGATGGTCTCACACAGGAGAGGTCGAGCCATCGAGAATCACCTGCAGACTACAAATATATGCGATAGCCTTCCTTCTCATCCAAGGGCATTCAAATAGCGAGGGCGTGATCAGACTGGTGCTTCCAGGACATTTCTCTAGAATGTTTAACTTCACCTTTACAACGTCTTGCGTAGTCGTGGCACTGGCGAGTGGGTCATTCGCTGCCACCAAACGTGGTCTGGCTTTTGCTGATTCCGACAATACTGGCGACATTGCTGTCGCTGATGGCACTCAGGTCTCCTGGGTATATAATTGGGGCAGTACCGCGCCAAGCTATCTAAAAAACACAGACATGACCTACATCCCTATGCAGTGGGGTGAAGACAATGCCGATAATTTTATGGCTGAAGTGCAGGCTCAGAATGCGAAGACCATCTTAGTAGGTTCATCTAGTCGAGAGAAGATATCTCACTCAGCCGAATTTCTACTGACAATCTAGGGTTTCAACGAACCTGACCTTAGTTCACAGTCGGATATTACACCTATGACTGCCGCGTCATTATGGGTGCAGTACATTCAACCTCTGAAGGCACATGGCGTCCGACTGGGTAGCCCCGCTGTGTCCAGCGCACCATCGGGAATTCCCTGGTTATCTCAATTCTTTGGAAACTGCACTGAATGCACGTTTGATTTCATACCTATTCACTGGTACGGTGATGGCCTCGACAATTTCAAAGACTATGTCGAGTCGTTCTATGACAAATTTTCATCGCCAGTATGGGTCACGGAGTTTGCATCTACTTCTTCGAGTGTTAACGGTAAGTTATCTATGCATCAGTGCTTCGTGCACCTTCTATGATGGCACTTACCTCGTACGTTTATAGAGGTGGAAGACTTCTGCACTGATGCAATAGCTTTTCTTGATGGCCAGAATTGGATTGAAGGATATGCCTGGTTTGCACTCTACGTAAGTATCTTCGGGCACGGCTTCCGCAGAGCATGAGCTAATAGCACTTATGATCATGGCAGCGCCAGGAGTCAGGTTCCTACTACAGTAAGAGAATTCCATCAAGCGTCGTGTCTCAGTATGACCTTTCTATCACCACAGACCTTCTTGATGTCAATGGCCAGCCTAACACACTTGGGGATATCTACCTTCATGGGACCAATTGAAGCCGGATGTAATGAACATGAGAAACAATTGAGAAGTAGACTCAGAAGTAGCACTGCATACGTACATGCTTCCAACATATATCATCTGATATTTTGAGCATAGGCTACGTTAGCCACGATTCGGATTGTGTCGGTCCGAATGCTTGTGATTCTGTGATTCTCAAGTGGCTGGATCATTGTCTATCGGCCAAGCTTCTTTCGACACTCCTGCAGAGCCGCTTAGACTATGGTTTTGTTTTTCTGCAAAGCGAACGCGATGCCAACGGCCGGTGTACGAGTCGACTTGAATGAAAGGCCATTGACACCAAACTGTCTGCCTCCCTGAGGCTGCGCGCCCGGCAACCCGGCTTCATTTACGTCACCGGTTGCAGGTGAAAATCCAACGTAGCCACAAGACGAAACTGAATATTAATTGAGTCTAGATCCAACAAGTCTTACTGTCAGCTTGCGCCTCGTCTTCTTACCGTCACAACCTGAGTTTCCATCTCCTAGTCCAAAATGGCAGTAACGACCGTAGATTTTCCGGACAAGTTCGACTACAGCATCCAGTCCATCGCTGTTCCTGGCACCAAACGTCCTGGTCAAACCGGTACGTCCCACGTATTCGTCAGCGGACGTTTCATTAACTTCGAAGCTTTTCAAAGCCCACTATCGGAATGGTGAGTCCTATCTAGTACAAGATTGAGCTTCACATGTTTTTTTAATTGCTCATTTCGTTTCATGACACTTCAGCATTATATGGTCTTGTAGACGTCAGCGTCCTACCAACACTTCCTGATGTTTTCGACAACGGTTACAACATCAATCCGGACTCTAAACTCCTCGGTCACCGTCCGTTAGTGTCAACCAATCCGCTCAAGTTCGGCCCTTATGTGTGGCAGACGTACAAACAGGTGGATGGTCGCAGGCGTCGCATCGGTAGTGCTCTCCACAGGTTATTCTCACAAGGTGAACTGCAGGGGGAGGACCTTCAAACCGTTGGTATATGGTCAGTGAATAGGCCAGGTATGCATGTCATTTCTTACTTCAAGTTCAGTTCTCACCGATCACCACAGAGTGGCAACTTGTTGAACTCGCTTTACATGCTTACAATAAAGTCGGGGTTGGTCTTTACGATACCCTTGGCAAGGATTCTGTAGGCAAGTTGATTGTCTTGAGCCATTTCCTATTGTGCTGATGATCTCGCCACAGAATATATGTATGTGGTGTTGCCGCTATCTCATTTAAACCCCTCAACATTCGTGATTGTTTAGTATCAATCATGCGCATCTTAGTATCATTTTCACTACGGTCGATCACATACCTGCGCTATTGAAACTAGCTCCCAAGGTTGCAGCCATGAAAATGATTGTGTCCTTCGATAATTTGAGTCAAGATGCTCGCAAAGCCTTGGTGGCTTGGGGAGAGACCGTCGGTGTGCAGGTCAAAGAATTCTCGGAATGTGAGTATTTCACCCTGATTTCTACCTTACTTGCTATTTACATGCTCCGTAGTTGAAAAGTATGGTGAAGAGCACTTGATGCCGCCAATTCCCGTTTCACCCGACACAGTCGCATCCCTATGCTATACTTCAGTACGTGGCTTTCGCATCACATTTTAAGCATCATCAACCAGGTATTTTCAGGGCACCACTAGCCAACCCAAAGGTGTGAGACATCCGTTCTCTTTCCTTCTGACACTTGAATTCTTGCTCGTCAGGTGTGGTACTTACTCACGGGAACCTTGCATCGTCCGCATATTCCAACATGTTTGGTATGGAATATTCTCCAAATACCAGCGTTCTCTCTTACTTGCCGTTGGCTCATATTTATGAAGTTCGTTGGTCTTGGTCACCTCGTCTTCTATGTGCTGACCTCGTTGTAGCGTGTGGTCGAACTCACAACCTTGGCCATCGGTGGATGTATCGGGTTTTCCACTGGCGATAACTTACGTCTCCTTGAAGATGCGCAGATGCTGAAGCCTCACTTCTTCCCTGCTGTACCTCGTGTATTGAATCGAGTCTATCAGTCTGCCATGGCTGCTGGCAATGTCCCTGGACTGAAGGGCGCTCTCTTCCGGGCAGCTGTGCGCGCAAAACTCGACCAGTATCATGCCACAGGTGTCAGTACACACCCGTTCTGGGATGCCCTTGTCTTCCGGAAGGTATATTCTCATCGACCGTCTCACATTCCTAGTTACAACCTGATATATTATTCAAAGATTCGTGCTGTGCTCGGCGGAAACCTGCTACTTGTCAGCACGGGCTCTGCACCTATCAGTGCCGAGGTCATCGATTTCCTGAAGATCGCACTCTTCTGCGAAATTACAGAAGGTACGGTCGCTCATCTTCGATTGTTAATTATCAGCTGATGGACGGTTTAGGTTACGGAATGACTGAGAACTGTGGTGTCTGCACGCATACATTCAAGGCGGACCCTAATTGTGGAGGAACCATCGGTCCTCCTCAGCCCGTGAACGAATTGAAATTGGTCGATGTGCCTTCCATGAATTACACGGTCGAGGACAAGCCCAATCCTCGAGGCGAACTTTGTGTCCGTGGTCCAAATTGTTTCACGAGGTATTATAAAGGTGAGGTCGTGTGCGAACACATGCATTGGTGTTCAAATGCTTAGCATTGCGACAGACGAGAAAAACACCCGGGACACCTTGCAAGACGGTTGGATTCACACCGGCGATGTTGCTGAGGTCGACCCGCAAGGCCGATTCAAGATCGTCGACCGTGTTAAAGTAAGTTTCCTCTCATTCACCGTGACCTTGACTTCATTGTGTTACACAGAATATTATGAAACTTGCACAAGGCGAATACGTCGCTCTCGAGAAAATCGAGAACATGTACGTCGCATGCCCACTTGTGCAGCAGATCTTTGTCCATGGCGATTCATTGCAATCGTACCTGCTGGCTGTGCTCATCCCAGACCCAGTGACTCTGGCTCCACTAGTGTCAAGGGTTCTTGGCGAGAAGGTAACATCTGATGACATCCCAACACTAGAGAAAGCCATCAAGGACCCCCGAGTAGTAGCTCAGGTCCTCACCGTTCTCAATAAAGAGGCGATGAAGAATCGTCTGGCTGGGTAAGAAGAGTTGGGATATCTGGATAAGGCACACTAACTAGCTTGAATAGATTTGAGACGATTAAGCGTCTCCACATCAGCTTGGATCCGTTTTCCATCGAAGATAATACCTTGACTCCCACCTTCAAGGTCCGCCGCAAGGATGCATTTGCAAAATATGCAACGGAGTTGCAGGCGCTATACGCTCTTGGAGAACCGAATGGTGATGCTAGCAGGCTGTAGTTTAAGTGCCTAAGCACTCCTTCAATCCACCTATGTGGTATATATATATATTTGTCGATATACAGTTATGAATACAGGTTCTATTGGGACAGACACGTTTTGATGGTATGGAGATGTTCTTATCAGAAAAGAAAAAAATAACATAACTGGTAGATAACAGCGACGAGAGATGCGTATATGAACAAAGATTGAAATGGATATGGGTAGTCATGATGGTGTCGTGATATGTAATGCCTTGGGAATATAGAATGTGATTGCCCACCACCTATCGCGGTAGGTCTTTTGTTGGACATAGACCAATCAACCTATCGTCTTCACACTGTTCTGCTTGATCTTGCGCGATGTCGTCATGCCCAGGAACGAAATCATGATCATAGTGACAAGCCACAGGTATCCGCCCAACAAGTTGTACTCTAAGGAGGTTGCGAACAAAGCACTAGAAGAACATGAGGGCAATCCTGCACGTGAAGGAGGACAAACATACCTGACTACAAAGGGAGCGAATGATCTCGCGAAACACATCGTAAACTGAACCAAGCCATTGGACTGCCCCAGCGATGCGGCATTCGGAGCGTTCTCCTTGGTAAGGATCATGCTAATGCTAAACATTATGTGTCGATCACTACGACCAGCCAAAAATGAACGAACACGTACCCATAGGCAACGCAAGCGGCCTTGGTCAACAGGAGGACGAAGGCGATACCAACCCATAGAAAAGCAACAGCGGTCGTTCCAAGTTCGCCGGTGGTCTCGTCCAAGCCAGCACGAGCGATAAGGTTCAAAACAGGCAAGACGAGGAAGGTATAAGGCCATAAGCTCATGCAGAAGCAATAGATCTTCGCAGGGTCAAACGTTCGAAGGAGATAGGACATGATACAAAGTTGGATGGCAGCACCGATAGCACCCGCGATGGCAAGAGAGTATCCGATTTGTGATGCCTTTCCAGTTGTCAGTTTGATCATACTTGTTTCAGAGCGGGAAGAGCTCACTGAGAACGCCAGACCGCCGGATTTAATTGGCGAGTAGCAGAACAAGACAAATACAACGTCGAAGGATGTTCCAATATAGCTTAGCATAAAGCCAGATAGTGCCAAAGCGGATATGATTGGTACCGACAATAATTTTGAAACACTGAGAGGCTTCTCAGGAAGAGCTGGTGCAGTCGTGACGCTATCACCATTGGTACTTGCATTAGGAGAAATGCTTTTCTTGCCGTTGCGCTTGCTGGGCAGAGTCTAAGATGGGCATGAGATTCTCGATATAACACACGGTTTGTGGGCTGCAGAATGAAACATACCTCTTCAAGGAAAATGAATCCAAGGAAAATACCGATAATAGCGAACGTGGATGCAATGAAGCATGGCAGGAAATAGGGATAATCCTTGAGGAACTGGTATCCTAATATTTCGGGATATTTCGAGGCCGGGTGAGAGAACGCTCCACCCATAAGTGGTCTATGGGTGTACACATGATCAGCATTGACATCTGATTAAATGTAAATAAGGAGCATACCCGATGATTGAGCCAATAGGCCAGGCCAGGCCGTATATGGGGAAAGCCACCATCTGGTTTGTGGAATCGGTAATTTCTCCTAGAACCGAATGGATGACAGCGATATTTCCCGAAAATAGTCCACCTACAGAATTAGAAGTTAGTTTAAGTGCAGATAGGTACTGTATGGAATGTTCCCCACCCAAGCAACGCGCCACTAAGACACTTGCCAGCGATTTGGATAAACCAAACATGAGCGTGGTGATGGCAAGCCCAATTATGCCGAGAAATATGACAGGACGTCGTCCGATAACATCTACAGCAAGGTGAGATGAAAAGTAGACTGAATGGCGCGATCAAAGTACCTGATAACCTAGCCCACTGGTAGATGGAACACAATTGAGATATAGCAAAAGCGCTCTCCTAGTGGTTACGATCAGTGAGAAGAGTGATCTGATCGTGGGATCGAATTAGACGACGTACAACCAACCCGCTATAGAAGCCTATTTTTGATGGGTCATCTGTGAGATGAAGATCGCTCATGAACTCGTTGACATATGGAAAGAGCTGAGTGAACGTTATGGGTTCGACTAGACGAACGATGCAGAGTGCAGCGAGTTGAGCCTTTGGTAGAGGAGTAGACTTGGGTTTCTCAGCGATCTGAGCTTCGGCGTTGTGAACATTGGAAGTAGTACGGAGGAGTGGACATGTCTCATCATAATTGGTCGTGTCGTTGGCAGTATTATTAGCGGGGGTCATGGTTGAAAATGACAAAGGCAAGGGAATTCAAATTGTATATTTATGTATTGATAGCTGGCGAGAATTCCACTGGTCACATTTCTCCAGATCAACAGATAGAACACGATATTTTACGTGTACTGCTCATTGCCGCCGATGTTAATTCTCCACATGGCAAGCAAGGGCTTTGAAGGGACCTAAGGATGACTGGATTCAAAGATGTAATCCGCATAAAGGCCTCATAGAGAACGGCTTACAAGCGACATATGGTGAAAATTTGAGGGTGAAGAGTAATACTTGATAGGGTCGTGCCAGTGAGTATAATTATGGACACAGGCCCGATGATCCCGATTTACATCATGTTAGACTGTATTTTTGGCAGTGTCGAAACTGCACGCTCTCCTCAATACACCTAGTTGTAGAGATTGGGAGGGGGGGGGGGAAATGGCATATGATCTGGCTCGAAATACTGTGCAAGTGGAAGAGTCTGGTCACTCGGTCAATGCCGGTGGCTAAGACAAACAACATGTACAAACAGGGAGCTCGTTGTGATAGACGTTCTTCGGACTTTCCCAACTGTTTCCTCTATTGCAGTCACGAAACTTTATCATCCACTACATTCATCTGCTTTGCTTATATCTACTCTTACTTGCTTTTAACTTGCTCACATCAGTCTCTTATCAACCATGAATTTTAATGTCAACGATAATCCTCTTCTCGTCGCTCCCCGTCCCGTTCGCATCACCACTCACCTTGCGCGTTCTACACATTTCAAACTTGTCACTTCTCAAGTCGATCATGTAAAGCTGTCCGAAGACACTGAAAACGTCGATGAGCACAAGCAGCCTATCCGTGTCGACTCGGTTTCGTCCGATAAGGATCTCTCCTCTCCGCGTGCATCACCTCGGTAGGCATCTATTTTACGTTTGATCCTAACTGTATTTGTCTGCTGAGCACCAACTCTTCGCCTTGGCTTGCCACTCTATCCCACTTATTACCTTTTCTTTTACTAATTTCATTGATTCCCCTGATCACAGGTCCAGTCTTCCATCAGAAGCGCTTGAAGAGTTCCTGTCAATCTGCATGGGCTGGAAATGCCCATCATCTCCTGTATTGCGACCACGTCGCAACGGTGCCGTGACGTTGCCCACATTTGGCCTCCCTTACAGGTCTAGGAGCAGAGTAGATTTCACCCACACAAAGGGTGACATCTCTAGCATCACACTCACCGAAGAGAGTGAATGGGTCCCTAGCACACGATCTCCTCAAACCCTTTATGAGCGAGACGAGCTTGAGAACCTTGACATTCAAGACTTCGACACCCAAAGGTGGAACGTAGCCCACACTCTCTGTGAGCGCCAGTAATTGTTCTCCTAAAATCCGCTCATCAGTATTCGTCGAGCAGCATCTCCAATATCTCGTGCGCGCAATCCATTTTTACGCCACCCTTCTTATGACGTCGCCCTCTCTGGGATCTCGAATTTTTCCCAATCATCCCCTCCGATCACTTCGGCAACGGCAACGCCTATGTCTCCTGCGACTGTTCCTCTTCCTGTCGCAACCCCTGATGAGTTGGTCAAGGTTTACTGAATCCTGCCCTTTATCGCAGTAATCCTCGTTTCGTCGTCCTGTCGTTACTCCCTTATATATGGTATGTCCTTCAATACTGTGAGCTAGGTTTCTCATCTCGCGAGCTGGTACTCAGCTTTAGACCAGTTCTCCGATTACATTAAAGATACCACTTTTGATTTGTTGGTCTACTCTTCCATCGCACTACTACTCTATCTTGTTTCACCACATACTTATATTCCACATCGATGCCCCCTCTAGTTCTTTCGCTTTGCCTACGTTCACTACCATGTTATTTATACATCACGAAGGATCACTTCCAAGTTTGTCTCCACTTGCTTCTCATGCGTTACCCAGTGTGTGCCATTCCTTCTAGGAAGGAACTCAGTACAATTGCATTGTATACTACTCGAATTCCCGTTGATTTCTGTATCAGAGAGTTGGCTCGTCTTGCTATCTATCATTTCATGCGTGGAAGTCACTTCCGTGTCCGATGTTATTATCCTCTGTTTGAATCAAGGTGTCTCGTGAGCCAGACGCCTCAAGGCCCTTAAGCTTTGTCTACATATACCAAAAACGGTACCGCGTTTTGTGCTTCTCAGAAGTCCTAGCTCATGAATGCGTCGCATCCTCTCCGTCTGTATTTGTCACAATCGTGCAGCAAAAACGTACCAGAATCCATGAGAATCCAGTCTTCAACATTCTCGACACATCTACACCCCACAGAAGAGAACCCGGCGTGTTTGGTGAAGCTATCTGCTCAGGAGCTGCAGGTCCAGCAAGTCAGACTGGTAGCAGAACGCAAGCAAAACGAAGCACAAAAAACGAACTCCAATCCGGAGCCAACGCCAAAGCAAGCGAGCAATCCAAAGGACACCTTCATGCTGTTTTGCTCGCTGTAGATTCACATTTTCCTACGCTTTACTCCTTTATTCAGGCCCTCCCGTCAACAACAGACCAGTAACAGTCTGCGTCTGCTCGTGTATCAAGAATGCTTGGAGCACATGGAGGCAAAAATCTCGCGCTTATACACCAACGTTGTCCTGATGTGATGCGCGTATGGGCTATCAACTCTGTTGCTGACATGGTTGCGACTTGGCGAGGGAGGGCAAAGTATTAGCGGAATTCTTGCGACTGTCTCGTGGAGAAGATGTTTCTGAGATTTTAGGCAGGTGGTCTTTGGATAGAATACAGGCGAGAGCCCAAGACATATCACCAACTCTGTGCAAGCTGTTGGAGCAGGGAGAGTTCGATGAGAGCCTCACCTCGACACGCCGTAATCATGGACTGGTAGGTCTAAGTCCTTTATACTATATCATGTACAGACCTCGTTTATCTTATGCAGGTATTCACATATATACTCTGCATGCTTGCTATAATGTGCCCATCTACCTTCTTGCGTGCGGAGCATCATGCTCCATGTTTGAAGTGTCCTCGTTCCTCGTGTTTGGTATGTTTTGCAGGATGGAGAGGACGCGACGCGTTCATGAGCTAGAGCCTAGGACGCACAATACGGTACCGTTTTTTGCTATATGATATACTTATACGGAGTTTGAAAGTGTACTCCATTGCTTCTAAGGGAAGCTCTTCCAGACGCTTGTCACACATTCACTTCTCAGACAAGGCGGCTGGTTCACGAGACTAGCTAGAATCAAGGTGTGAAAGAGCGTTCTCAAAAAGGAATGACTGTCTTCAAGGTCTGACTGGGCGATACTGATATCCGTCATACTTCCAACTCTGATTGTTTATCTATCTACCGCAGACGATCCACGATGTTTCTCACAAAACACCCTGCCTGATGTCGTGTGTCAAATTGTTGTCCACGCCGAAAAGTACTAGACTCTCAGGCTGCTTCTTGTCACGGTGAGCATGTCGACTGGCCGAGGGGCCGAAATGTTCACTGTGGGTCTACTATGATTGGCGGTCCGGTAAGATACTGAATGATAGATAGCAATCATGATGTCATGCTCTGTGATCGGCGTCTTCGAATTCTGGATGTCCTCGCTGAAATTCCTGCTGTCATTCGTGTCAACGATTCGAGTCTTGATTCGACCATATTGCTGTCATCTCTGCATAGCATCAGTTCTGTTTCCAATCGCAATGGGGTACCTGCCGAGTCGACTTCAAGCCCAGAGCTCGCTCCTGTCGATAGTATTTTTGTTGTTGTCCGCACAATCAGGTGTGTGCTTCTTGCCTTCATTTTTTTGTCAAGATTCCTCTTTGCGTTCTGGTTCCTCCGCGTATAGACCGATACTACGCCTGTCTTTCGTGCACCAACACATCGTGCCTCGTGCTGTTACGAATCATGACAGGGTATCGAGCCACACTCCTGGTCCGGCGCCCGCTCCCATCGCTGATGGCCGGTAGATCTCCAATTGGGCGGGGTTCGATTAGTCTCATACTATAACTGTCTTTCCTGCGCAAATACATTGTGCTGTTACGAATCATGGCGGGCTATGGAGCCACACACCTGGTCTGGCTCCCACCCCGATGGCCGGTACTATCTCCAATGCAGGTTTGGATTGGTCTCAAGTCGAACGCCGTTTTGACGGACATGCCAGCAGTGGATGTCGTATAGCTTTCTGCTGGTCATAGTTGAATTTTCCAGCATGTACCGGTGGTCACCTATGAATTTCCGGGGTGATAGCAGATAAAGCCAACCGCTTACGTATGTCAATTATCCTCCCATCGAGTTCGATCATAATTTGTGAATGTGACCCTGGTGGCGTCCCTATGAAAATTATTTGTTGAATGCAAAGTGACATATAACGGAACGCTTCTGATCTATACAATGACGTAGTAGCTTCATTGTCCGACTAAGGGCTTATATTTATACACAGACCTTCCCGCTATTGTCCAGAAATAGTTAAGATCATAAACTCTGGATTTAAGATAGTAGTAGGAATCGATAGCGCATCTACATCAATACGTAACTTCGGTTCCAGAAATTCATATCCGTAAACCCCATCAGAGGAAAAGGTTCAAGGGTGAAGCGGGCTGAATGCTTGTCCCCCAATCCCTTTGGTCAGAAATACAGAATTTCCGCCTTTGTCGATATAGAAGCAGTCTTCAAGGCGAATGCCGACCTGTTCATGACCGTTAAAATTCATCCAATCAAACAGAGTCTCCGTGACTCCACACGTAATTACCGTACCTTGCCTTCAATGTATATGCCTGGTTCGTTCGAGAAGGCGTTCCCTTTTTGAATGATGTCGTCGGTTCCTCCACGGAGGTATGGACCTTCGTGATCTTCAAGCCCGATTCCTTCAAACACTCAGTCCTAAAACCACAAGTCTGCTGTAATTTAGTGCTCACCGTGACCCAGTCTATGAGTAAAGTATCCTTTGTACCCACGCCCGTCAAGCCAATCACGCGCTACCTTGTCTACGGCAGATGTATTTGCCCCCTCCCGAGCCGCTGCATGCGCCAAGGTCTGGGCGGCATGTACATCATACCAGATCCTAGTATGTTCCGGTGGAATGGAGCTATCATGCAGCATGAATGTCTATGCAGAACCTCAGCCAACTGAGTGGTTTCACGACAGAATCATGAATGCTTACACGTGTAACGTCGCTGTGGTATTCCAGCAACGTGCCGCCAGCATCTATGAGAACAAAGTCCGCTTTGCCCAGTGCGCGGTCACTCCCGCTTCCATGCGGGAGAGCAGCGTTCTCTACAGCAAACGAGATCGACAAGTCAGCACTCACAGGCACCTATAATTCGGATGTCAAATTTTGATGAAAAATCTTACCGCCAAAAAGTACCAACGCCCATCTTTCGGCGAGACCAGCAGCAGCGAGCGCCTCGTCTATCATCACTCGAACTTGTGATTCCCGTATCCCGATGTACATCTGGGCTTGTACAGCACGGATACAGAGAACGGTGACCTTGTTGACTGCGATGAGCTAGCCACGTTCAAGTGCGAACACATCCGCTGACCTCGTTCGCACATCTCAGAAGGTCTAGCTCTGCTTGGGATTTGCGCGCCCTGAGTTGGGTGACTTCGAGTGGGGCAGACATAACGCGGACGCCAGGAGCGGCCTTCTGGAGACCGTCGACAATGAAGTATCTCATCATACCATCAACGTAGATGGGCTTTCCAGGTTCAAGTTCAAGGGTGGAAAGTGCAACGATGTATGGGTCTTCGTCTTCTGCCCAGGAGACAAACGAAACGTCAATTCCGGGTACTGGTAAAAGTCTGGCGCGTGTTTCCTCAAATGCTGGTGTGATAACAGTGACTTTGGCTACAATGCTGGCCTCCTCGAGTATGGGAGAGATTATAAGTAACAACGGTCTTTCTGAAAGGTGCCACGTCGCCTCGGAAATGTTACCAAAGTACTGCGCATTTGCGCCAGGCTCTGCGATGTATGCTGATGCGCCATTGTCATACAATATCTTCGCCAAGTTTTTCGTGGCGTTGGAGAATTTCTGAACCATTTATGGGCTGCGCGTCGGAGCAGTGGCTTGCTAGGGCCTGTCCAACGGTCGTAGTCGACTGATAAGGATTCGGGGCCGCCATCAGTGAGAAACTGCAAGTAGAAGATGGTTGCACAAATGGCAAGACTGAAGAGAAGCCTCCACTGATAGATTATGTCCGGATGAAAATTTGGCAACACTCTCAGCAGCGTGAGCAGCTTACCTCTGATAAGCTCCGAGTCCGTGTTACTTTGGATGCAACAAAAGTTTGAGCGATCTCCTTGTCCACTTGCTCATCTTTCAGTGTTTGCTAGGCAATACATACAAAATATAGCGACTAACCATGACTGTCAGATTTCATAATTTGAATTAGCGCTTAATGGTTCACCTGTAGTGACCTAACCTGAGACCGTCTGAGCGGTGGCAGTGCACGGCTTGAAAGGAGCCTACAAACTTAACACAACTTAACACAATTAGCGAATCCCTCCTTTGACATTCATGGAGGACACGGAAACTTTGCTAGCATTGGTCCGCAGCCTACTGACTATTCCACTGCCAGAACTGGATATTCTTATCGACGCGCTCTTGTCGTGCGATGGAGATGTTCATGCTACTGCCAAACTGCTTAATTCTGGCGATAAGACAAGGTCCTAAGCCAGTGAGCAGCGTTTCAAAAAGAAAGGATCGTTCTGTGGGTCTCAAGGCTGGTTAAATGCAGGCAATTCAAAAGTCGAAAGCACTGTCTCTGACAGTCCTCCTCGAAAGAAACGAGGCGTCAAGGAATCCAGCCTCTCTCCTGTTAAAGCGATCATCAAGGATACCACTGTATGCAGCAGCCCTCCGACCAAACCCCAAGTAGACTTGATGTCGGTTCTACGCCAAACACCCTCGAGTACGCGATCTGTACCCCGCCTCCTTCCCTTGACGTTGATGAACCCCTCGATGGTGGCCAAGCACACACCTTGCACGATGCATCTATCCATATTGCCACCAGAACTTGCATGCAAATTATTCTACACGATGCTTGATCTGTCGCAATCTTGGAAAAGGAACAAATGGTGGCTTTTTGATCGTGTGGTCGAGAGCCCTCACCGCACATCGTTCTATGCTCGAAAGACAGATGGTGTGGAGTCTGATAACTCGTGGCAAGAGGCTGCACAATATTGGTGAGATAAAAGAATGTTGTATCTTCTTGAGACGAATATCTAACCTGACGCATTAAAGGTATAACGGTCGACAAACAGACCCACCTAATGTCTTTCCTGATGTGATGGAAGAAGCCTGCTTGTATGTAGAAAATATGGTCAACAAAGAGATGCAGATGCGACCTCGCCTCCCGCTTGAATGGGCAGGCAGAGGCTCCGAAGGTCAATCCTGGCGTGCCAATGTAGCAGCATCAAATTGCTACGAAGGTACAAAGGACAGCGTTGGATTTCACTCAGACCACCTAACATATCTAGGGCCTTACCCAACTATTGCCTCACTGAGTCTCGGTGAGCATCTTTTAACCCGCTGTCCTGTGTAGTCATACCGGGTCGTTTGCAGGGACGACAAGAATCTTTCGCCTCCGGGAGGTCGTGCCAAGTGAAGAGATGCACTCACGGAGGGCACAGACATTTAACATTCCTTTACCTCACAACTCTGTAGGTCCTTGCGCTAGCGATACATGTAGAACTATACTCAAACGTGCATCCAGTTGATCATTATGCATGCTAGCACCCAGGAAAAGTTCAAGCATTCAATTCCTCCTCAATCTACACTTGACCTCTATCGGCCTCTCTTTCCTCACCCTTCTCGCCTGAAACATCCATTAGAACCGTCAAATTGTCGTATCAATATAACCTTCCGGTTCTATCGACCAGATTTCAGGCCGCAAAGCATCCCGCGTTGCAATTGCGGTGTACCAACAATTTTGCGTCCAGATATGAAAAATAGACATGACGGTCAGACGGACAAATACTGGTGGACATGCCACGCTGGTGCACAGCACGAAGGAAAAGGGTGCTCGTTCTGGCAGGTCATGGACATGAAGGCTGAGGGCCGAGGGCCGACCATTTCTGGTGTGGGGTGCAATGAACGGTGACATGAATTGCACTAAGGATGCGCTGAAGTTTATTCACAAATAAGTCCTGGTACGTTACTCTCGTTGCATCGTTGTATGGGAAAGGTTGAAAAAATTACAACATCGATGAACATTTTGGGACCAACAGGTCAAATGCGTTACTAGATTTTGCTGGGCGTAATGCAAGTTCTCTCAAACCTCCGAGGCTTCGAGCGGCGAACTTGGAGTGACCATCAGTCCAAGCGTGTGGTAATGATGATGGGTTCCATAGTGCCCTGGTAATATCAAGATTTCACGAGAACTCGCCGGCCATAGGCTCCAGTAACCTCATCAAAGAACGTTCAGACTCTTGCTCTAGAATTGCAATAGAACTCGCGGGTAAGCTTCCACACCATAATCTTGTTCCTACGGTATTCCCGCAGGATCATACATAAATATAACTCGACATTCGCATGGGAGCTTGAAGACGAACCCTTGAGGCCATTCACAGAGTGTTGTAGCACAGCCATCACAACGCACGTGTGAACACGTTAGTGATTTTGTTGTTTGGGTGGCAGAAATGGAGCCACGCGGTTTCTCATCCCACAGTTGTGAATTCCATTGACCACCGGTCGATCAGGACGTAATGCAGCATACGGCATGATCGAGTCACAGGTGAGTTTACGAGGTAAGGTCTTGACCATCCTTAGCTCTGACAATTGAAACTGGCACACTCAAATTCGACTGAATTCGTTCACGTTACCGTATTTCAATTCAATTGGCTTTCCAGGAGGGCGGCCTGACACGGAGCATTCAATCTTTATCAGGGACGTCATTTCCGCCCCACCGCCATTAGCACACCCTGATTAGCGCTTATCCTTACACAGTATATGCAGACAAGGAGTTGAGCCAACAAAACTTCTGAAACACATTGCACAACAAACAATCACTTTCCAAATCTGTCTGAACCCAGAATATGAAGAACACGACATTGCGTCCTCGTTTCAGGGTGCAAGTCCTATGAACATTCCATCACTCCAAAAGCCGTTATAGAGCCCCGGGTTTGTGGCGCTTATATTAACCTCTCAGAGCGTTCTGTTGACTAAATTCTCTGTTATCTGAATGTAATGGGCCTTTCCATAATCATGCTTCTGCGCTAGTCCAATTGAATAACCTGAGGCTGTATCAGACACGCGCTAAGTAAAAGTCACCAGACGCAAATGCTAGATGGGGTCGGAGGGTCGGATATCCTGGGATCGCAATGATATCATATCTTGGGAGTTTAGCCAAGGTCGTCACCTTTTCTGAGTAGTAGAAAAGACATCTAGATTGAACGTTCTTGACTTGATGCGGTTGTATCGTAAGTTGGGTAAAATTATCTCATGCATTCACTGGCAGCTTCCCAATTTGAACGAGTCCCTCGGGCGACTGGCCAGCTGTGTTCTCGAATAGTTATTTCACGATCATGGCGGTGTGATGTATCGATGGTTGACTATGGATGTGTTGCGCACACATTGTATCCTTTTTGCCTGCAACAATGGTGCAAGATCTCCGAGTCAACGCGGTCGAACACCCGCCGGATGTAAATAACTGCCCGACATCGATGAAGTTATTGATAGAGACAGATCCGTCTTCTGGATGTTTGAACCCAAGGTCACCGTGATCACCGCTACTGTGCGCTGCAGCCACGTACGCGCATCACAGATTGCATCCTCCGTGGTATAACAGTAATAGGTTAGGGGAGAGTCCCGGAGACAGTCTGCATAACGTGTCGAGTCAGGTCACGTGCACTGCGGCGTTTGCTTGTTTCTCCGCTCTCACCCGAGCATCATCACCGAGTTCAAATTCAGATTTCAAACCCTCGCCATTCTCAGCATCTATCAAGCCATGGCCCGTGTATCGTTCCAACCGACCCCGCCAACTCGCTTTGCCGGCACTGTGCGTATCATCTCTTATTCTTCTGGTCCAGGGTTCGGTTATTGAAGTCCGCTTTTGATATGATTTAGCTGGCCAAACAATGGGGTCCAACGCTAGGCATATGGGGCGTAGGTGCCGGCGCCGCTGCTCTCTTCGTGCGTCTAGATAGTACTACTAGCTTCTCTTGCCCTTTTTTTCTGATCCACCAAATAGTTATTGTCCGTTACCCCAGTTGTGAAAAAGGGTCTTCTCGTAAATGTTCCGCTGGTGAGGTCTTAGGTCATCGTGCGCATTCATTCTGCTCATCTCGCGCGTGACGGGTACGACTTCAGATTGGGAACTACTACGAGGACAAAACACCTGCTTCAGACAAGCCGTTCTGAATGGTCCGCAATCATAGACACATACCGCCCTTTGGGATACCAGTATTTTGTTTAATGTAGAATGCGACCGCCCAGAATATACATTTGCGATCATCTAAACCCCCCGCGGAGGTGTCCATACAAACTGTGATACCACCAAACTGTAGCCATGGCTTTCAAAGCTTAGCAGATGTTGTGTTGTCATGGTCAAGGTCACTAGTAAGGTCGATGCCTAATTTCCCTTCCAACTGTTTGACTGCATCGAGAGTGCCACCTATCGGAACATCTAAAAGAAGATTCGTCAGGACAGTTTGCCAGGATTTGCCATCGGCGCCGCATGGTGTCTAAGCTGCCAAAGATAATGCAGCCGCGGACGCATCTACAGATCAGATGTACTTGGAATACGCGACTCACGGATGGTCTCCATGCCAAGAACGCGAGCGGCCTTCAAGTTCCTGTTGATGGTCAAAATTTGCACCAGCAACGTGGTAGGCGCAGTCCTTACATTCCTATATCATCAAGGAAGACGGCTTCTCCGGGACGAATGTCATTTCGCTGACAAGCAAGAAGATAAAATTCGGGATCAGGTTTCCTGTTGATGGGTTGAAAGTAGTATAAGTAACACCACTATTGCTGAACCTCGTGAAGACCTTGGTTGAGGGTTTTCCTAACGTACCGCACGCCTAACTCGCTGGAGTCACAGAAGTCATCGAATAGTGCACGGAGATGAAACTTTGCTCCATCCTCCCATCCCAAGAACCGCAACTCCGAGTCGGGAACTCCTATAGGAGGTTGTGCTGCAGTCAGGGGCATCGAAGAAGAAGAGCCCGTGAGGTGCTTCGAGTAATTATTAGTAAGAGCGATGATAAGCCATCTTCCAGACGCTAAGATAAGGCACTGAGTATGTTCGGAGTGTACCGTGATACGACAGAATCACCTCTTATCCGGTGAATGGCGCGTAGGATGTGACAATCATAAGCTGTAGACTGTCGCATCATCCTACCAAAGACCTTGTGGCGTTGGCGGAGTTAACAATCAGAGCAGCGACTCATCAGATGTTTCCAACACTGACCTCGCGGCCGTCAATATCAAGCATCACAGGTAAAGCCGGGAGATCTGACTCGACAAGGATTAAAATAGTTGCCTAAGAAACGTACCATCATGAGGCCATACCTATTTTTTTGCGAGCGCAGTATTCCGTATACCATTTGTTACCATTTTCTGTGTCAGACAGGTCACGTCCAAACTCTTCGTAGAATGGGAAGAGCGATAGCTCTCCACGTTCGAATCTCTCCCAGGCCCCGCCCGGCCCCCGAGAAACTCTGCCCACGGAATAAACATGAGAAATACGGAGACGATCATAGCTTGAACAGACGGACATCGAGACATTCAGGTAATTCCTGGGTAGACCCTTCTCCGACTCGATCTCATCGATCGCAATGAACGGGCTATGAAGGACGACGCCGCCAATCTGGGAACAGTTACCCGAGGATGATCAATGATCAGCCGCAGCCATGATGAGCGACAGACGGCACCGCATGCGTTGTTCGCGTCGGTACCAACGGGACGTACATCAAAAATAATGGCCTTCAGATGGGGAGAAGACATCGGTTAAGCGAACCCAGCGGCTCCCTAAAGATTGGCAGAATGGTAGCCGACTATGATCGCTGCCGCAGCACACGAAGCTTTGTCAAACCGAACAAGCTGCTGCAGGAGACGCACTGAAGAAGAAGAATCAACTGGGAAGGTACGGCATCTAAACATACAAGTTACCGGTTCATATATAGAATATCATCCCGGCGGCAAATTCGACACAATCCTGAACGCTTGAAGTCTTGGAAGAAGTTAATGAATATATGAATAGTCGTGCCGCGAAACATTCTCATCAAGTGTCCATGTCAGTGGATGTCACAATGCCATAACTTGTCAGAACGAAGAGTATCAGCATCAGCTAGGGCTGCCTATCCGTGGTATTATTATTGCTTATGTCGGTCGGAGTTTGAAAATATCTCTTACTTGACTCCTTGTACAACATTTTCGAGATACTAGTGAAGCTTCCATCTCTGCCAATTCGAATCGTTCATCCGTGTATCTGATCGTTACCAACTCGCAAGACCGAATATGGCTAATCCACGGCAACGTCGTAAAGCCAAATCATCAACGCATAAAGCCGTATCCCACTCACGGCGTGCACAGAGACTCCTGAAGAAGATGCCAGGTGAGTTTCCGATGATATTAAATTATATCCATGATACATGAACGTTTATGCTCATTTATCGGATACTCGCGGATTCTTGTTTGATGTATCTGATTCGCCTCGTGCTGTCGTTATGCCTGATTGGTTTTGTGGAAGATTATAATTGTGATTGACTACGTGCCTAGCTGACGAAGTTCCCTTTTAGTGATACGAGGTCCAAAAGCCTTGCAGGACGCTTGGGATAAATCAAAGACAGTTCACCAAAAGTGAGTTTATCTCCGCATTAATTTTCAATTTGTTTTGCTCTTGGAGTTCCGGTGGGGCTGGTGTTTTTGAATTTGTCAAATCTTACGGCGATACGGACTTTGTTGCCAACCATCAGACTCGGACGATTATCCGCTCTAGTGGTAAGATGTCTGAGACGGGTTATAACACGTGGGCAACTGTCCCGATGGAATACGTCTTGATTCCTGTCAACCCCCGCGAGACTTGTCATCAGCTCCGCGGCTCGCCACCAATTCAATGAATTGATTCCTTGACCGGTCGTTTAAATCTCTGAACAAATGTTTTTCCATAGCTATGCTGCACTGGGACTTCAATTTGCCTTGACCCCCACGCAATCAGGCGGAGTCGAACGGACATTAGTCCCTCCAAAAGCTTCAGCTGATGTTGAGTCAGTCTCTGTTACCCCCAAGTCAGTTGAGTCTGGCCCTTCGGCTATACCCAAGGGGTTTGGAAGAATTATCCGTGACGAATCTGGTAATGTGATACGAATCGACCTTGCTGAATCGGAGGAAATCCAAAACACTGTACAAAAGACGGATCTCCCAGAAGCAGATGTAGATGAGAAAACTATGGGCGATTGGGTCGGTTGTCTCAATAAAGTACACCATTCGAATCGCACCATGGATGCACGAGAAGTATCCTCGTCATGTGTGCAGGGAACACATGCGATTGACGGTGAGTGCCGCTATCAAAATAAATGTTCTCATGGTTTGGAATTCAATGCCTTCTGGCGCAAAACTCAGTTTTCCATGATCTCAGTTAGAGAGACCATCCTATACTTGATGAGTTCTTGGGATCTATTCGTGTGGTGCCTACGGCACTAGTGCTTCTTTATGGCTCATATGACATCCGGCGGTCCTTCGGTTTATTGACCAGTTAATTTTGTTTGAAACAATAGTGTTGGAGCAACTGTCGACTTCGGGCAGGGTGGTTGTGCGACACTCGTCGTGTGGAGAAAGATCATACCTGGCGCGTTTGATCCAAAAATATGGCGATAACTACGAGAGGATGGCGATAGATCGCCGTCTAAATCCTGAACAAAAGACAGTGGGTGAACTAAGAAGGGCGGTCGGTAAAGCGGGCGGGGTGGAGTCATTCTGCTGACCGGTGGGCGTATCATCGCAGATTGACATGTTCAAAAATGCAATACATGTTTGTAAACCTTCTCGAGCGGAGGGCGGCTCAGTAATGTTGACGAGCGCCCGGTTAAACGGGGTCAACCGAGGCCGATATTAAGAACTGACCATGAGTGACTGTCACATATATCACGATACGTCACGCCGGAGCTTCGAAAATGGTCAAGGCTGTGTACGCACATCGGAGGGAAGTTCTGATTATACGTATAGGACTAGCATGGAGCACGCGTGAATGAATCTCGTTAAGCAGGGTCAGGGGTGATATCACAACGCAAATCACTAAGTCTTTGAGTCAAGATATCCCCGGTGAAGAGGTGACATGAGGCGGCCACAAATTGCTTGTTGCCAATATGTGGCGACGGGGTGACGCTTTGAATCTGAAGCTGCCATGTTGAATTAACAAGTTTGCGAGAGTTATGAGCGCGAGGTTAAAGAGTAATACTAGTTATAAGCGCGAGGTTGAAGAGTAATAGTAGTATGGACCCTGGTGTGTAACGACTTGTGACATTTTCCATCATAGAAAAAACATATAGCGCGCATGCGGCATCGTAATGCTTACGAAGGGGACAATAATCTGAGATCTGAGCTAATTAAATAAATCCGGCAAGTCGGAATCAATTCGAAATTGGACAAGTTGTTGACAAGTTGTTTGTAGCTCTCGACCTTCTAAGACGGCAAAGTGGCCAAGACCGGGCCTATCAGCGCACGGAGGTCAGGTGCAAACAAAGTTGAAAAAGGTATACGACACCTGTCAGGGTTGGTCTGTTAATGAGTGGGCGGCGTTGTGACTCTCACGGCAGGTATGATGGATTTGTTTCCGATTGGCGGAAAAAGAGACTTTACGGAGTGCCTGGAGTCAAGAAAATCGTTTTGTCCTGAATGTATTGGTATACGCACAGCCGTGTGAGGTACGTTGATTACGACGGAGACCTCGAGTAATAATGATTGGGTAGATCCAGATCAACGCCACTGAATGACGAGAGACGTGCAGCGCTCACAAGGTCGCCGAAGGTACAGCATCAAATATCAAGTTCAAGCGAAGGTAAACGCCCCAAATCTGGTGTTCCCGAAAGATCGACTTCGACTTACGACATCCGCTTTTCTCGTGTCTTTCACTTTTTCCATTTTTATCCGCGTTCTGTTCGAGCCGTCTGAACTGCCAATCGAACTTCCGCATATCGACGTCAAACAAACCATATTTAATCTTCCCTTACCCTCACATCATCATATCGGCCCTTCTCCGACCTTGTTATAAATCTCACATCCTTTGTTATCCTTTACTGCATCTCTCCCCCCACTCTTCTACCATAATGTCGCCCCGAGCATCTTCCTCTGCCCCGAGAACCGCATCCGCAGCTAGCACCCCATATCCACGACGAGCTGCTGGCCAACCAAAGTCTTCTAGGCAACAGTTCTCCGCTTGTGGTGCTTGCCGCATGCGAAGGTATCCCCGGATCATTCTTCTCCTCCATGATTCATCTCAATCTTTGTACAGAGTTCGATGCGACCTCAAAGACCTCCCAATGACACAGACCACAAGCGGTGTCCAGCATCCCTCATGCTCAAACTGCAAGGAACGTGGGATCAAATGCGTGTACGTAACATTTAGCATGTCACTTTGACAATTGAATTGAATCATGTCTATTTTAGCGATGAATTTGCTGAAGTCAAAGCTGTGAAACTTTTAAGACGCGGCCGCCGTTTACAACAAGTAGAGTCAGTCGTCCTCCCACTACTAGTCCCATTTAATTTTAATTTCAATCAGAGCTGTCTACGGCAAAGTCACGGATGACGAATCTAACTCGTCTTCTGCCATGTCCACTCCATCAAACCCCACCATCCCAACCACGCTCTCCTCCGCGGGGATCGCCCCATCCAGACAATCCATTATCCCCCTCCTCAAGCTAGAATTCCTTAGCTCATCTTTCTTCCGCAGGTTTAGCATCCAACGTAAGATTTCATTTGCCGTCATGGTTATCACCCATCCATTTTTTCTTCATCTAGGTCCTATAATCGAACCCACTGAATTCACATCAAGATACTTTGCTCATATTAAGGGCACTTCCTCTCTCAGTATCGAGGGCCAAATGATTGCGATGCTACTTGTCACTTGGGCTGCCTCATTCGGCGTCGATGAATACGGTGCGGAAGAAGAAGCAGAGCCCCATTCCCCCATTATACCCGACGGACCCAAGTTCTCTCCAGATGGCGATGATGATTACTCTGAACCCAGCCGTCGCGTTCGCACTCTTCGTACAGAGTCCATGATCAGGGAGATCCTGCATCTCATCGATATGCATGCCGTCCTGCGACGCCCGACTTGGGACGGCGTCAGGGTTCTTTTGCTCATCCTTCCATTAACTCAGGGTTTGTGTCCATTAATAATTCCAGGGCACCATCAACTGACGCACTCGTCATCAGGTATACAAAGCTCCATGGACAGGGGGGTAAGTGCCTGTGCTTGACATGGAAGCGTATTGACTGATCGTCCTTGTTTAGGCTATGTACGAGGCAACGCTTTCCCAGGTTTACACCCTCTGCAGCTCGAGCAATCATTCTGTGCTACAAAGTGGCCAAGGATCATATTGTGACGCACTTGTCCGTGCCAGAGTCTTCTGGTACGCTTACGTACATGAAGGTGTTCGCACTGCCTTGCGCGGCGGTCGGCTATATCTGTACGTATATGCCATCCCCGAGTGACGTTCTCTGATTGTTTCCAGTGACGAGGACGACCTTGTTGCATTCCAAAGCACACTTCCTCCTCAATACTGCGCATCTGCATCTGGCAGCGCTCCTTCATCTACATCTGCTTCATCACACTCGTCGCCCACCGCCACTTCTCCAGTGTCGTCCGATATCCCTGTCAATTCCTTGCAGGATCCTCGTGGTCACTCGCGCGCTTCGCTCTCTTACCTGCTCTCGTCCCATTATTTTTCGCTCGCCCTCTCCGTGTCTGGTGTATGTCGTGCCGTTCACGCAGTGCTCACCGGGCCTCGTGCGCGTCGTCGCACCGATGCTGGTGTTGCAATCCGCGAGGACTCCCTCGTGGAGATCTGGGATGGTCTGGAGCGATGCTGTGAGGACTTTGAGTCTCTCCGTCGTGGAGCAGGCGGCATCGGCACCGTGGGTGGCGGCCTTGTTCGTGGAGAGGACGTCGAGCGTTTCGTGAGCGGATGGCAGGTGTTCATCTTTGAGTGCTTGAACATCATCCGGGAAGCCTTGAGACAGCGCATCGTTAATCAAACCAAGGGGAGCCCCGACTCGAACGGTCGTTCCCCTCCCGCTGATCGTGCCCTTTGCCGCATGCTCGCCCAAGCTACTCGCCGTTGCCGCCTTGTGCTTCCCCGCGTCATCGCTATCTTGAAACGTCACCTAGCTGTTCCATCGAGCGGATTTTTCGCTCATGATGCCGGTCTCATCCGAGACGGATGCTACTATGCAGCCTTGCTGCTTGCGCAAGGCGACGTTGATCAGGATGCAGACAGTGATCTGAAAGGCGATGACGGACTCGCTTGGGACGCTGACGCCGAGGACGGTGTTGACGTGTGTCTGCGGGCACTAGGAGAGATTGGCTGGATCTACGCCAATAGCGAGGAACGGGAGAAGACAGTTCGCATGGTTTGGGAGGCACGGGTCATCCGTGATGATGAGCGCCGTCGTGAACGCAACCGTCAGCGTGATTATCTTGAGGATCAACGTGCTCAGGCTTATCACTCAGGACAACGTTCGCAGGATCATTCCCCATATATGATTAACAAACCGTCGTTGCCGCCGTCCGCTCGGGGTCAGGGAGCGACGCCTCGTTCACTCTCACTTGTGTCGGCCGCTGGTCAGTCTCGTCCTCACCTTCCTCCACTGTCGGTTGCCTTTTCTCCGGCGGACAGTTCACCCAACACGGCTATCACGGACGATGGCAGTGGCAGTTGGTCTACATATACGCCGCCCACGACGTCGAGTTCAATGACGAGTAACGCGACTACGAACCGCAGCGTCTCGCCACCTGATTCTGGATCGCCTCACACACTGGCATCATTAAAACATCTGCCACCCATACAGCACTCGCTGAAAACGGAGAATGATTCATTCTACAATGGGGATCTTGATCCATTCTCATTTTCTGTGGATGGTACTACAGGCCCGGGTGTTGTTGGAGGTGCTCATGGATGGACATCGCAATATCAGCATCCAGTGGGGCCTGGTAGCGGATACCTGGATCCTAGCGTGATCTTTACTGGCGCGGACTGCCAAACATTCTACCACTAAAGAAGGAATTGCCGTCATTGAGTCACATGTTATCTTGTCTTGATTATTTCCAAGTTCTACATCAGAGAGTGGAGCTGCGTCCATCATCTTCACGTTCATTTCATAGCCATTATATTACCGCTTTATCACTGGATGTATTAGAAATTTGTTTATACCCGCTAGTGACGTTTTCAGTATTCATTATCATAGACAAGTAGATGTATTATCATTATGCATGAGAATGTAAATCGGTGGTTCTAATGAGTACGTGATGAGAAGATCTGAGGAGATATGATGGATATAGCTATAGTTTCATTTGTGTGCGCATCTCATTTTAGAATATAATTCAATTGAATGACATTGACACTGACGCCCTTGCTAGAAGCAATGTAGGCTCCGATCAAAGAAGGGGCGACCTCTCCACAATCAAGTCGACTTGCAACGGCCTGCATCGTGTTACAAGCTTCAAACTTTTTTTTTCTATTAGCGCTTGGCGATTGATGGTACGTATCCCAATTACTGTTTTATCTAGCCATGTGGCGGCCGGCAACGGTGAGACGACACATTAATCCCGCAGAAAGAACTTCCATTCCTCCAACAAAGGAACAGTGCGGATACGTATCAAGCTTCTTGTACCCCATGTAGTACTAGTATGAGTGATGTCATCCCGCCGCACGTTGATTATGAGCTCCTTGTCCTCGTGTTGAGTACGAATGCACGCTTTTCCAGGGTCGGGAGGGGATAAAGCCTTGACGGGGACGTGAAGGCATTACGACATGCGGACACCTATCTCCGAACACCAGCCACCAAGGCCAGTGGCAAGTCGACTTGACCTACCACAACCTCGGATCCGGGATGCGGCTACAATCGTCTGCCGCACAGCTTTCATTGTTCTCTCTTTTTGCGATAAAAACAAATAGAAGTTCTTCCGGAGGGAAGCCGCAGACTCCTCAATGCTTTTATTCTCTACACCGGACTGTTCCTTGCTGTCCGAAGATCCCCGCTGTCATCATCATTCCGGTTGTCTCGCTTTATTTCTGCAAATACTATGTGAGCGCATCCTCGTACGAACAAAACGTAAGTCACTTGGCAGCACCATGTGCGCCTCCTTGCTTCCTGCGTACGATACTCGTTATCCTGCCCATCAATGTCCCTGATAAGTGGCACGACCTAGACCAACTTGGCACTTGCGGACGCATAACCTTCGCTGCCAAGCTAGAACCTTCACGGGAGAATCATTCTCTCTCCTGCCGTGGCCACTATGGTCGAATCACCATCGACACAAACCTAAACGGGCTGTTCTTCGTCACATGTCGGAACTCTCGGACCTCCGCGGTAAATATCACTCTTTTGAGCCATCCAACATCAATTTATTCGTATATTATGCTGTTCTGCATTGATGTCCGCGCCTTGTAAGAACGTCCTCGACAGCTGTGTTGAACAAAATCGATTAATCATAAGTTGAGCGCGTCTTGACCGCCACTCGGCACAGCCACCTGCCACCCAGTGACGCCAGTCACGATGCTGTATCCCACTCCTTCCTTGTCCCCATCCATTAGCCCCACATGTCTTACTATACCCCTAACCCTCCCAATGCCTATGGATCAATCCCTCCCAGTAACTATACGTCAAACCCTCCTGGTGCCTATCCGCCCAACGCCTACCCGTCAAACATCGGTCGATACCCCAGTTCCCAACCAAGGCAGTACACTCAACAACAGGGTCTTCCAGCTGGCGCCGATCCTCAGCTCTGGCAGTGGTTCTGCGCTGTCGATACTGATCGATCGGGCGCTCTCAGCGTCACGGAACTTCAAGATGCCCTGGTAAACGGTAAGTGGCACTGCAATCTTGCGCATGATGGTCGTGCTACAACTCGTACTTATCAGGAAATTGGACAAGTGAGTACACCTCTCGTTGATATCATGGTTTTATGCGAACTCTGGTAGGACATTGAGCGATTCTGCTCATACCCAGACTAGCCTCTTTATCGTTTACCCCGTTCTAACTGATTGCTGAAACCATGCTTAGAGTTTGATCTCGATACGGTCAAGATGCTCATGAACATCTTTGTACGTATGACCTCACCCTGCAAAAAATAACATATGTAACTTCCCGCAGGATACTGATCGAAGCTGGAACCATCGGCTTCAATGGTACTTCATATATGAAATTCTCAACTATCACTGACGCCGATCTGGCCCAGAATTTGCTGGCTTATGGAAATATATCGCCGAAGTGGCAACGAGTCTTCAAGCACTTTGACAGAGACCATTCGGGTTCTATCGACGGACGTGAACTTGCGGAAGCCCTTCGCAACTTTGGTTACAGCCTATCTCCTCCTTTGTTGCGAGCGCTAGAAATTCGATACGGTACGCACACACACTTTTTGCACCCAATAATCTAAATTGTCCGATAGCATCTGGCGCGACTAGTGCGTATGGGCCCCCTCCTGGTATCACTTTCGACCGCTTCGTGAGAGCGTGCGTGACCGTCAAGACTTTGACCGAAACATTCCAAAGGTACGATCTTGGATAAATCCATCCACGCCATGCAGTTTTGACGACTATCCAGGGAGGACCGTGACAACGACGGCTGGATTCAACTCAACTATGAAGATTTCTTGAAGGTGAGCGGGTCGATATTGTGGCGCACTTGTCTGACTCGGACACCCTAGATTTCGCTGAGTGCGCCTTAACTGATGAGAACTGTGATGCGATGCGATAAACAACGTCTGTATTCGTTGAAGATGTATGATAACCTTTTGAAATACGATGTTTCATGTATATACAACCCTCACCGTTCTGTATGTATGTATATGAGCTTCGCCAAAGATGCTGCTTGTAATTTCAATTTGCATGCTTTATAAGCCCCATTTGGACCCCTACTGCGCAACAACTCACTCATCACCAACATTAACTCTCGTTCGTCCCTGCCGACACCACCATGGATTTCTTTTGTAAGACAGGACATGCACATTCTACCGACCAGTTTCTGAAACTTTCCCCACAGTTTGTCTACCAATCATATGTTCGTGGGATTTCTCGTCTACCGTGCTCGCGCTCCGCCATTTATACCACCCATTACAGTCGGCTGCCCCACAAAAATCAAGCCGGAAGGAAACCAAGGAGCCAGAATATGTCCTCGGTGCCATAACGGTGCGTCGCATACGATCGTCCCAGCTCCACTCCCTAACGAAAGCCCAGCTGCGATGTTCTCCGCCAAGTCCAGAACCTGGTTCGAGCTCTGTTTCGTCCCGCTCATTCCTCTAAACTCGAAGCATGTTTGGATGTGCGGGATATGTCAGCTGCAGGTGCATGTGCAGCCTGGGTGAGGGAGTTTTTTTTGATGTGCGAGGGTCGTTGATGTTTCTTTGGTGTGGTAGGTGGGAGCCTCAGGTGGCTCAGCCGGGGTATCAGCATCCGCAGGTGCAGGGCCAGTATGCGCCGTCTCAGAGCGCTGGATACGGGCCTGGGTATGTTCAACCTCAGAAGTGACCCGGATGGCGAGCGTGTCATGGATCATTAACTATTTTGCATGAGAGTTACCCTGTAGGATGACGAGGTACGATACTAGGCGTCGTTGTACTATTATGTGGACGCTGGATACGATATCTACTCAAGTTGTATCATATATGGACTTGTCCTTGCGATCTCCTTCGCTGTCGGTGACGGTAGATCATAATTCCAATGGCTCCGATCAAAAATCCGCATATCCCGCATACGAGACAAGTCGCGAGAGTATCCCTCAATTCTGTAGCTGAAGAACCTGCGCGTAGCAGGGAAGGCGGGGGAGCTGGGTCTTGTCCTCTAGATGATGTGAACTCTGCGAGAGCAGCGGCCGGGTCTGTCGTGTTCAACAACCCGATCATCGGTGGATTGGAAGCCGTTTTGCCCTGGTGTATGACGTAGACGTTCTACAAGAGTATTAGGGAGGTATGATCGAAGGAAAAATCGTGAACGCACCCTCAAGAACACAGCCCCGAGAAGCCAATCTCCAGAATCGACCTGTGGGTTGAAGTCAGAGCACAATCAAGATTCGGTTTGAGAGCACTCTCACTCCGTTGTTCGCCTGTATTCCGCCGGTACACCAGCCGTCTTGCGTCTCAACTTCAGCCCAGTTGACATCCTCGGGATGGAGTGGATATTCCTTTGCAGTATCGGAATTGCCAAGTTTGATGCGCACGTCTACGGCCCTGTCGCACCTCACTTGCCATGCTTCTGTCTGCTGGTCGTACCTCGTGGACCCACCCGTTCCTATAGCATACCAGAACGCGTTGACGTCCGCAGTCGGACCTAAAATGAGAGTCGTCCCGGTATCAAGCACAGCAATCGGCGACGGTGCACCGCGGACCAGCGAACGCGAGAGAGAAAGGACCTGATCATTGATAGTAATCTGTTGAATCGGAAGCTTCCAGAAGTCATACTCGTCCTGGAGTCGATGCGAAGACCGGCGTGAATGCGAACTGACTCGTATCATTTGTCAAGGAGGAGTCCAATTCCCCAATGGTGAGCGATGAATCTGAATACGAAATATCCTGTGACTCGTTTCGTCCTAATTTGAACGCGAAAAAACCGGTGTGGGTCGTCGAAATGAGTGAATAGATTGTCCAGGATGGGGGTCCCAGACGTTAGGGGGATGGAAGCGACGAGTGGAAATGATAGGCCTAAGATACCCGAGTTTCCCTGTGTAAGAAAGAGCAAGCCCGCTCGTCTGGTTAGCCAAGGCTGCGTGGTGATCGTTAGTATTTCAACAAGCATGAAACGGGGACCGCACCAAACGTTTGGGAGGATATTTCATACGGGCCGAGCGTTACGGTCTCTGTGCCTACTGTTCCCAGCACTGAACCCACCAGATATGTCAGTTCGAAAGGCTGATTTGATAATGTCAGGGTGGTAGATGACGAGGAGGAATATCTCGTGATGCCCTGACAATCTGGATTTGTACAATCTGATGAAACCACCCACTGTGGGATATAATTTGGCTTTCTGAGTGTAGTAAAAAGATAACGGCAGGCTCACGAGGTCTGAGGAGCCGGTATCAAATGTGATCCAAAATTCTTGTCCCCCAATGCTACAATCGGCGGCATGAGAGGGGACTAATAGGATAACACCAACACACGTACTCGGTACGAATCAGATACGCACTAAGGGGCCATCAGTTAAATTACGCAGGTGGGAGAACACGAGACCCACTACTCTTGGCTACTGGCCACCGAAACATCACTAAGCAAGATGGATGGATCTTGATGGAGCCCACGTTGTAAGCGGAGCTGCATCCTTTGGGAAGTGCCACTTCGATGGTCTAACCTCTTCATAACGGTCACTATATCGAGAGAACAGTCGATGATGAGTAAACGTGATGATTAGATTGGAAGAGGCCCAAGAAGTTTCTCAGTCACTGACGATTCCAAGCCCCCTGGAATCGATTTGATTCCATTTGATCGGTCTGGATTGGAATCTGACCTGAACTAGTCCCAGTGGGAATCCATGATGACCGTAAGCCATGCCCAACATTATGTCAATGTAACCGGTCATGATTTAATACTGTCGGCCGCATCGTGATAAGTATGGACTACGCCAATGTCGTGTGACGTTACTAGAAGAACTGACGAAATACGCATCTTCACTAAACGGGTAGTCCACAATGAAGAAATTCTGATCATCATCAAGGACTACAACCATGCCTCCTGGGCGTTATTTACAATCATGCTCTAGGCGTTTACGCGTAGGGGCTTTCAAGGTTTAATAACCTTGACGTCAAACACGCTGACAAAACATACTGAACGCGCCAAAAAGGGATTCCCGGAACAAGTAGCATTTTTCTCGTTGCCCAGGTAAATGTGCAGTAATTCGGGAGATGTCGATGAGAGGCGGACAAAGGCCTGCCAAATCTCCATTTATTGTTGTGAGGTAGAGAAGGGAACAGTGAGAGTGGCGGTGCTCGGGCGGTGTGTTGTCAGAGTCACGCCTCACGCACCACGCGTCACACAGCACCAACCGCCAATTCACCTTGTCCCAAGTCTTTTCTTGCCTCGTCTCCCTTAGTTGCCACCGTCCATCTCATACTCGAGCTCACCATGCACACCAGCGAATACGACTATCTTTTCAAGCTTCTCCTCATCGGTGACTCTGGTGTCGGAAAGGTACGTCGCTACTGCGGCCACCAGTTTCGAGTATCCACTGACGTCGTGTCATTCAACAGTCTTGTCTTCTCCTCCGTTTCGCAGACGACACGTACACTGAGAGTTATATCAGTACTATTGGTGTTGACTTTAAGATCCGCACTATTGAACTCGAAGGCAAGACTGTCAAGTTGCAAATTGTGAGTTGGGTATCTTTCACGACTCCCCTTTGGAGTACTGCAGCCAGACGCTACCGCTACGTGCACTGGAGTGCGTCAGTGCGGTCAACATGCATTGCTTCGCGAAGTCGCTTGATTCATTTTTACATTGATTTGTTGCTTACATACCATTCGTATACGCGTTACAGTGGGATACTGCAGGTACGTCCGTGCGCTAGCTTCTGTGCAATGGTGGGCTGATGTGAGAAGGTCAGGAACGATTCCGCACCATAACGTCCTCGTACTATAGAGGCGCTCATGGTATCATTGTTGTGTACGACGTTACTGATAACGGTAAGAATGCTGGCCTGAAACGCGGACTTGAGCACTTACCAACGACAATAAGACACCTTTACGAATGTCAAGCAATGGTTACAGGAGATAGATAGGTACGCCTCTGAGGGCGTCAATAAGCTACTGGTTGGGAATAAGAGTGATCTCACCAGTAAGAAGGTGGTGGAGTACAGTGTGGCGAAGGCGAGTATTTTCTTGGAATATTTTGTTTGGGGATATTCTAACCACCTTCACAGGAATTTGCCGATCAGCTTAACATTCCTTTCCTGGAGACGTCTGCAAAGAATGCGACAAATGTTGAACAATCATTTTTGACGATGGCGAAACAGATCAAGGATAGGTAAGCGAAATTCATAACCCAACGCTTATGCAGCCTGTTTGACTTGTTTAAAGAATGGGATCGACCTCGACGCCTGCTGGTGGTGCCAAATCGTCAACAGTCACACCAGGTCAATCTGTTCAGCAACAGCAGTCGAGCCCTTGCTGCTGAAGGAGGGTTGTGATCAGCTTGGGGTGGGGTCACGCCGCTGAGATTGTACGCCTTCGTGATGTCTCGTGGCTGCAAGAATTGTATGATGACCCAATACTCAGGAGCGGGTTCTTTATCATATTCCCTTCTACATATCATCTGCTACTTTGGACATGTTCTTTTGCGCTTTATCAATTTTCTTCGTCCTAATTCTAGGCTTCTCTGCTCCTATTATGCGTGATCCTGAGAAGCTTGAGTATGCTCATATCCCCCTTGAGTCGCCTTGAGTACTGATCAGAAGCTGCTTGCTGCCTGACGGCCCTGACCCCACCGATCGTCACGGAAAAGATGAACGTTATCCTACGTTATCGCAATGCGGCCCATCAGAGCACCCCAGGAATCAACTTATCTGATCAGTATGTCACTGATCACGTCCATATCGGTCGGATTGAGCTGACATGCTGGACTCCTGGCGAAATCATCATCGATAATCCACAGGTATATATACCCCCCTTTCCTGCGCTCAGTTTCCAGTCAATTCAATCGAATTCTTTTTCATCACCTTCACAATCACTTACGCACAAATGTCTACTCGAGGCAGAGGCGTGCCCCAACAGGTTCTGACAAATTCGTTTGTCATATCCAAGCTGCCCACGAGGACGCGATATTATCAGTACGAAGGTGAGTTTCACTCTTACTACAATGACACAGCGGCTGAACTTCATATAGTTTGTGAGTATCTGTATCTGTACCCGATGGCCAATGACGGCACCTCACTCGAATATAGCGATCTCCGGTAGCGGGAAGGATATGAAGAACCCTCGAAGGAGGACCGAGGTCTTCGAGCGCCTTCAAAACCACACCGACCCCAAATTATTTACGCCGCGCTGTATCTTCGACGGCGCCGTTATTATGTACTGTCCCCGCGAGCTTCCCTTGTCTGGCGGGGACTCTCAAACCGTAAGAGTCAGGTGTTGGATTCGGAGCTACTTATCAATATCTGCTTTTGGTTAAGTTCGAAGTCAACATGTCCAACAAACCCCGAACGGATGGTTCTGCCCCGACACGCGGAATCCTACAGGTATATCTGAAGAAGGTCGCTGCCGACCCAATCGATTTTAGGTGTGTGCTTCCATCGAGCGAGTTTTTTTTTTCAACCTCCGCTTACTGCCGAATTACAGCGGTTTGCAAGCATTCATCGATGGCAAACAGACCAAGCAGACTCCTCAGGTCTTGACAGCGATAAATGTCCTGCAACTGATCATTCGCCAGGCACCGAATCTGTGCGTTTCCCTTTTATCGGTATTCGGTTAACGATGCTCATTGTTTTTCGAAGGAAATATCCGAACAACACGCGTGCGTTTTTTACCAAAGACGCCGGGATACAGACCCTGGGCGGAGGTTTAGAATTGTGGCGCGGATACTTCCAGTAAGCTCGGGATCCCTGTGGCGACGCCCATTTGACCAACATACAATAGGAGTGTGCGCCCTACCATTGGAAAGGTTCTGGTAAACATTGATGTGTCAACAGCGGTTATGTAAGCGAGCCTGTCTCTCAATTATCATACGTTAACACTCATGTAAATCTCAGGTTCAAGCAGGGTAGCTTTCAGACCGCCGCTCTTGCTGTTCTCAAGCAGAACGACGTCCGTGCGCTGGAACTCCGCCCAGATTCCCCTCAGTTCCGCCAGTTGAAGAACTTCTTCAAGGGCGTTTCCGTCACGCTCGCCCACCGGCCGGGCCTCAAAAAGATTCGGGGATTGGTTCCTAACGCTGGAAACTTTGAGTTCGAGAACACGACGGTCAAGGTAGGTTTTCATACGAATCACATCCATAACGCTTCTCTCAGCGCGAGTGCAGGACTACTTCAAGAAAGCTTGGAGTCGTCCTCTAAATTATCCGAACATCATCGGCATTCAGGTTGGATCAAAGGACCGGGATGAAGTCATCCCAGCGGAAATGTGTGCTATCGCACCCGACCAACGCTACACGCGAAAACTCCCTCCCGAATTCTCACCGATGATGGTTAAGTTTTCTTCCAAGAAACCAGATGAACGCCTGGCGCTCATCAGCGCTGGTATCAGCAACGCAATTACGACCGACCAACGCTCTGTAAGTGCCACATCCATCTTTTCATGCGTTTGATTGACTGCTTGTACAGGCCCTGGATTATCAGAATTCGCCTTTCTTGCAAGATGCGGGGATCACTGTATCTCCCGACCCTATCTTAGTCACTGGACGTGTCCTCCCCACACCCAAAATCCATTACGGCAACGCTGCCGCTAGTAGACCGGTGGTAAGTCCAGGATGTCAGCATGTATGGGGCGCAATGATTTGATTCTTGACCTACAGCAACCCCGAAATGGGTCATGGAATGTCATTGACCAGATCTTCCATGAACCAAAGGGTCTATCGTCCTGGGGCATTCTTAATTACTCAAGGGTCAACGATCAGACGATCAATCGGTTCGTCAACACTTTGCTCAACGCATGCAAGAAACTTGGTACCATCAGTGTTTATTTTATGTATCTCAAACTAACCTTGTCTATCTTAGGAATGAGTAAATGGGATGTTGAATTTCATTTCTAGCTACTGATCGTTGTCTGGTAGATGTAGCCCCACCTGCGGCGAGCCAATCTTGTGCTGGTGCATCGTCTGTGGTAAACGTAAGTGCTACATCGATTCATCCATTAACACGTGCTTATGTTAAGCAGGACATGAGATCGCTTAAAAATGCCGTCAGCAGCAGGATAGGCAAAGATCCGGAGATGGTATTGGCCATCCTGCCGACAAGCTCGACGGATATTTATCACGCTATCAAGTCGTTCGGTGATGTTATTGCTGGTGTATGTGTTCTTACATGAGTGATTCGAATGATGCTTACATCTTGCCTAGTTCCCAACACAGTGTGTCGTAAGTCGTGTCGCGTTGTTTGCGACCTCCATTATAATCTCCTCCGTCTAGCGAGAGAACAAGATCGAAAGAGCAAACGACCAGTACTGTGCGAATCTAGGCATGAAGTGCGTCGAATTTTGTTCTCTGTCTCGATGTGCACCCCTGACTTGTTTGGTAGGATCAACGCCAAACTTGGAGGCGTCAATTCATTACCAAGGTCAGGTGCGTTGGAGAAGCTCATGAGCGCTCCGTTCATGATTATGGGTATGTACCGTCCCTGTTTGGCCTTGGAGACTCATCGAAGGCTGGTTCATCCTGCACCAGGTGCCGATGTAGGGCATCCTGCACCTGGCATGATCAACCAGCCCTCTGTGGCATCTCTCGTTTATTCGTTTGATCGGTATGCTGCGCGGTACGAATCGATGATGTCGGTTCAACACCCCCGCCAAGAAAAAATTGACGAATTACGCAAATTAGTATATGTAAGTTCTTTCCATCTGTTATATGTACACGTGGTTCAACTATCACAAGCGTGCGATCTTCGAGTTTGGCGAGCGTAATAGGGCCGCACCCATACGCATCATTTTCTTCCGAGATGGCCTTTCCGAAGGAGAATACGCGCTCACGGGACAAGAGGAGATCGAGGATATCACAGGTGAGTTGGTTCAACGATAGCTATTTCTTGTTTTCATCATGTCTACTAGGGGCGATCGATGACATCTGGCGGGACAAAGGCATAAAGGGCGCGAAACCTGAACTGACGTTCATCGTCGTAGGTAAACGGTAAGTCTGCAATCTATTCTATGCATCTGCTTTTGTCGCTCATTCGCTGTGTTTCCTCAAGACACCATGTCCGATTCTTCCCAAGGAACAGGTATGCCGCTCGGTTGTTACCATCGTTTCTGGTCGATTTATGAATGCATAGGAACGATGGGGACAAGTCTGGTAACTGTCCCGCAGGATTTGTTGCCGATCAGGGAGTGGGAAATCCAGCAGTGCGCGACTTCTACTTACAATCGCACGGTGGTCTCCTTGGAAGTTAGTTTATCACAGTTACTCAACCTTGTCCGACCGCTGATTGCGTGTACAGCTAGCAGGCCGAGTCACTATATTACGCTCAGGGACGACGTGTATAAGCACAACACAGACGAGTAAGTCCGCAGCCTAACGTTTGTCACAATACTTGCTCACCTTTCTTTAGCCTGCAGGAGCTCGCGTTTACGTTGTGCCATTCTTATGCGCGTGCGACGCGTTCCGTCTCTATTCCGGCTCCCGTTTATTGTGAGTTATATCTATTCATCTACAGTGCATGCGTCTGACACGTTCTTTTTCTCGCCCAAAGACGCCGATGCAAGTATCCCATCCCATCCCGTCACGCCCAGCATCCACAACTAACTATAACCATTCAACAGATCGTCTGCGCGCGTGGCGCGTTCCATTTCAACCCTGCCATGGGTTTCGACGCTGCTACTATCTCTAGCCATGACGACGCTTTCGACCTTGAACGCTGGAGGAAAAATTTTAAGGACAAACACGCTAATTTGGCCAAGAAGATGCATTTCATGTGAAAAGGATGTGGAAGTATAATTTGCGCAACGCTTTTGATGAATGACTCAGTTGGATGTATGTAGGATATAGCACAGCAGTTTTTGTTTGCATGAAATTAATGAACTCGTGGTCTTCTCTCGGTGTTGTCTCCGGGGCTGCAATCGTGCCATTAGACAAAGAACTACGTAATAGACACGGACAAAATGACTAAGCCCAACTCGGGAGGTCGTAAGCGACAAGTCCAAAGCTTCAAGTTCGTCTTCTGGAGCTCGTTGAATGAGAGTGATGTGTACGAATGAAATTGTTTATATGTAGAACATTGGCATGGCATCAGCAGTTTTGTTTGCTTGTTCAGTTGTTCGAAGGAAACCAATGAATCAACAATGAACTATTAATTCTCGTTGCTCCTCAGGCTCGCGCATGGTTTCAAGTTCCTGGGCCTGCGATCGTGCCTTTAGATAAAGAGCCACGTATCATGGACAGACCTGGGCTCGGACTGAATCAAAGGTCCGTGTGGTGAGTGACAAGTCCAGAGTCCAGACCGAACTCAGGGGAACGGTCATCCTTCAAGAAACTGGTATCAGTTGTCTGGCTTGTGACGGTATCGTAAGTCATGAGGCATTACTACGACCGATATCAAGTGCCAAGTTGGAGTTCGTCGACAGAACGGACAAGTTAAACCGGTGTGCCATTGCATTTTCTCTCGAGTCTTGCTTGACACGGTAAAGCGCTACAAGGAAAATTCCCTCTGCGGTAACCTTTGCCGTATCAAGACGTGCGGTAAGAGTGCTGGTGAGCGGTGTGGGGAAGTACGTCTAAGGCCTTTGTCTCCACAGGCGGACTTTTAAAATCAGATGAGTCTATCTGAAATCGGTTAGCCATAAGAGACTTTCCAGTAAAGGTGTACACAAGACCTGCCCCAATACGTGTATGGAATGAACGCTCAACTGGCCTCTTTTGGAGAAACAAAACACGTTGAAGCAAACATCTTGCGCCATACGCAATCTATTTTATATACATAGACCTATAAGTTTACGTCTACCACGCACAATCCCAATCGCGTAGGTGGAATCGCTTCTTTTTGCTCTTGTTTTGGTTCACCACCCGCGAGAAGCGAGTCTCCCCCCCTTTAGATTTGCATCGCTAAAGAATGATGGGCATCAACATCTGTTCCAACAAGAGTAAATATAAACATGAAACTTACATCGTGAGACCGACCATAGCAGGACCAATATCTTCTGATACCTAATTTTGATTTTAGGGTGAAACACGTAGTTGTGATGAAATAACGAGACCCACCTCAGCGAGCATCTTGGGGTTGTTGTGATGAGTCACCTATGCGTCGTGTCAGTTGAGATGATATGATCGATGGAAGGAGATAAGTTACTGCTTGCACGATGGCTCGCGCCCGTTTGGCCGGATCCCCAGACTGGAAAGAGAATGAGTAGAGATAGTGAATAGAGATTAGCCGCAAGTCAATGAGGACCTACGTGGAAAATGCCCGAACCGACAAAAACTATTAACCGCTTGGATCAATATCAAGGCCAAGGAGGCTTTCATACAACTCACTTCCATCACAGCCCAGCTGCATCATAAGCGCAGCATCAGCTAAGATCCGTGAATTTCAGTTGTCTTGTTTTACAGCATCACTGGATGGACATACCAGGCGTGGCGATACCCCCAGCAGCGAAATTGACGACCGGCAATCGTTTTAGGCGGGCTGTTTCCTTGAGGAGGTGGAATGGAGCCTGTATCTCTTTTGCATATGCATACAGCTCTTCTTCGCTCATAACGCTAGCTTTTCTGATCTCGCTCATGACTGATCGCTGGTGGCGGACCGCCTCGACAACGTTACCTGTGCCTGCCTCGCCTTTTGTGCGGATGAAGGCGGCTCCTTCTGAGATGCGACGAAGGGCCTCGCCAAGGTTACGGGCGCCGCATACAAAGGGCACTTTGAAATTGTGCTTGTTGATGTGGTGTTCGTCGTCTGCAGGAGAAAGAACTTCAGACTCATCGATGTAATCTATACCGATGGCTTGTAGGATCTAGGATCATGGCAGTGCCAAGGAGTGTAATTAGGCGAGTTGGGATCAAGATGAAAATAGGGACTGACCTGGGCTTCTACAAAGTGACCGATGCGAACTTTTGCCATGACAGGAATGGTTACCGCATCAACGATGGACTTGATCATGGCGGGGTCGCTCTGGAGGGTGGAGACGGATGGATCAATGAAACATGTTTGAAAAAGGAAGAAAGGCGTACCATGCGTGAAACACCCCCCTCTTTGCGAATATCTGCAGGAACACGTTCGAGTGCCATGACAGCACATGCCCCTGCCTCCTCGGCAATGCGTGCCTGAAATGAGACATGGTGAGTGAAAAGTCAGGGGTAGGCAATGATAATTCGCACCTGCTCTGGATTGATGACATCCATGATGACGCCTCCCTGGAAGAGATAAGGACGGGTGAGTATGTGTTTGGGAGTGGTATTACCTTGAGCATTTGAGCCAAGCCTGATTTGACCTGGGAATAGTGAGTGTTTGATGTACATTGTAAAATGTTGGATGGCGAACCCCAAATGTTCCCAACTTGCTATTTCCAGCATCGCGCTGTGCTGATCGAGGGATGGCAGTACCAGCAGCAGCAGCAGCAGCTGGTGTTGCTGGTGTTGGTTGAGGGGCAGTTGTGGTTGGGAGAGGGGTGGACATTTAGGCAGATGAGTCTAAGAGGCGTGTGGTTATGGAAAAAAAAACAGATGATGATGATTATCTCTCGAGATTATCCGGACGGAACGGATCCGGAGTCGGAAGAAGCTGACATGTAAATACTAGCTAGTACGCGATGATTAACATGTGACTAGTCAAAAACCCTTGGACGTGAGCCAATTGATCACATCATTTTTCCAACGGCCACCCGAGATGACAAGGTGCCTTTGTGCTACGACTTGTACTTTAAGTCGAGCAGCCTCCGGGGAATTGTGGCTGAATAGAGATTGTTTTAAATCGTTGGCAAGAGACTAAAGGGGTGTCAAAAAAAATGAAACAAAAGGAAAGAAAGACAAGTACACTGGGTTGTCCTTGAACGTTCCGGATTGATACGAGGTATCTTGTGCCACCATTACGAATGTCAGTATAGACAGGTAAGGAACCACGAGAATTGCGGCGAATGAGGTATCTGAGCGACATTTTCCTGTGTGAGTGATACCAACCAACTAGTTTATGAGTACTTGATCGGACTTTGAAATATGAATATGAAATTGATGTAATGATGAAACCCCCTTATATCGCGTTCAGAAGGTCTCACCTCTCCATATAAGACCCATGCCTCATCCTTCCCTCTTCCTCTCTCACCATCATGTCCCTACTAGTATCGCCTGATTGCTGGTCATCGGCAACTATCCCTCTAGATGATTATTGCTGGTCTGACTTATTCCCTTGGAATACTTTCGACAAACACAATGCCTACTGTAAGTCCTTATTCTTAATCAAACAAATTCACCTCCTAATTATATCAACTTCTCAGTTCCTCCGTCTCCTTCTGAAACATGTTCTTCCTTCTCAACCGATCTATCACCTTCTCCAGAACCAGTCACAATACGTGTAGTTTGTGACGTTCCTCTGCTCGCTCCTCGTCCGCTTCCGTATCATTCTCCTACTTTCCTCAAATTCGATTTACCCGATCCTGACCAAGACTTGTCACATCCACCCTACACACACAGACCTTCCAAGCGGAAACGTGATCACAATGACGACCACCACCGTGATCATTTGCGTGTAAAACGCCGCAACGCCGATTTACAACGCTGGGCAGCCGGTGTCCACCATACCGACACACAGGGTCGTTCTCACGTATATACCGCCACCCGGCCTGATCGCCCATCTTAGGGGCATCCTCATTAACACCATCCTCTACTCCGGCTTCTCCCTTTCGTCAGTTATTTATCTCCCTCCCCAACCCCTTTCTAACATGCCTTCAGCGAGTATATGTATACATCCGATTATGTATAGCGCCACCTGATGTTTGCCACATATTTTGCAGCCCTTCCATCACACTGCTTAATTCGCACAGTACGTTTCCTCTACACCCAGAGCACAGCAATTTAGATTCATAATTACCAGCATTAACTCCACACTGTATACTATTACATAGCATGTCATCTGAGCCTCTTCAGATAGTGGAATCGTAGCATATGATCACCTCGTGCCATGGCCCCACACAATTACCGCTTTTCAACGGCAACTTTCATCTTGCCAACATCATGCCAAGTAGTCTTCAGCCGCATTCCGACGTGGACGACGCCAACCGTTCATTTCCGTAAGTTATGGCGCGCGTCCCTGACAGCCCGGCCTTCAACACATCAGACAACCGGATCCTTTCAGTGACTGTCGCCTTATCCCCTGCCACATTTTCAAAATAATACAATCTACTTCAAGGTATGTACGCTCCACGATCAACGCAGGTCACCACGGTGCAGAAGCAAGGGCACTCCACTATCTCCCACAAGATAGTACGTCAGGCAGTTATTATTAGCATCGGTGGCGGTAGCCAGCAGTAGCCTTCCAGTTACGTTACACAGCTCGTGATACTGGTCTAGTAGGGATTAGTACTCGGAGCTCAAGCTATAGGAAACTCTGCCTCAAAATCAAAAAAACCATTGGCACTCGCAGCTTTCTTCCGGTGATTCTCCGCATGCTCGCGTCGTATCTGAGCAGCACGAAGGTCTATAGTCGTGAGATCCAGTTCGTGCAACGCTCGACGGACGGCTTTGGAGTTTTGCACCTGTTCGGATGCTGCACGCGAACGGCTAGCTTCGATAGCTTCGATTTGGGATAGCTGTGTTGTGTTAGATGTGCGATATGATAGGAATGAGTGAATTTACAATACCTCATCTTTATATTTTTGGCCTAGGCGTTCTTTGAGAGTTTCCCGGCGCGTGAAGGGGGGTAGGAAAGGTGCTGTGGGGGGTCTAGGCATATCACCTGAGGGGTTTTCCGGTATTGGGTGTTTAAAGGATGGAGCGGGAGATGCTGGAGTTGGAGGCGTTTTAATAGCGTGATAAGGTGAGTGGGACGGTGGATGGGGAGAACGGTCGCGCATTTTGAAGTCTCCCTCGGCATCTTGGTCTGCTGATTCCTCCTTGGCTTTTGGGCTTGAAGCCGGAGAGCGAGCATCTTCAAGGATTGACTGGACTTTGACATCTTGAACGTGGTGTAGGTCATCGTTAGATTCAGCTTTGGCATACGGGGAGGCAGACTTTGTGGCTGGTTTTTCTTCTGGGGCGCGGAGCGAGCGTTGGGAGTGTGTTGGAGAAGCCGGGAGATGCGTTTCTTCATGCGTAGGCTCTGGCTTGACATCTTGAGACAAGGAGCGCTTTGAGGGACGGGGACTGGGAGTGTGACTCCCGCGTCGCCTGTCATCACCGCGGTGGTCTGAATAGCGGCTTGGGGGCGCTGAAGGTGGACGGGGAGAATGTCCTGGCTCGCGCTTTACCGGAGATCTGGATGAATGTCGATGAGTGCTGCCATCAGGGGAAGGTGGCCTGCTGTGTCTCCTGGGTGAGTATGAACGACGAGGAGACCTGACAGGCGAATAGTGCTCCCGACGGCGTTCATTTGAATCTACAAGGTCACAAATTAAGAGTCAATAGAACAACATACTTTGGCGTTACCTTGACGTGGAGAATACGGAGCTCTGTGCATACTCGATCTTTCCCTATCATCGAATCTTCGTCTATCGTGATGATTCCTGTCATACTCTCGACTCCTTCCCCTCCCTCCATAGTCCCTATCTCGCTCCGAATCGCGGCCTCGCCAGCTTCCTCCACCACCACGGTAGGTATTCCCTCTGCGCGGTGAAACACGACCCCTCCCGCGCCCTCGCCCCCTCCCTGTATGCTCATCGCGCGTCCAAGCCCTGTCGTCCCTACGCTCCGAAGCCCTTCTGTCTGGTTCCCATCCTCTCTCTCCCCTGGGGCGCTCGTCACGGTGATAGTACTCGCGATGGGTGTCGTTTCGAGAAGGTGACGTGTAGGTGTCTCTTCCTCGAGGCGAACGTGGTGGTGGTGACCGGGGAGGGTGATAGCTTCTATCTCTGTCTCTATCTCGTTCTCTGCCCCTGTCCCTGTCCCTGTCTCGTTCGCGATCACGGTCTCTGTCTCTGTCTCTGTCGTCGCGTCGGGGACGATAATGGTCTGGTCCAGCCATTGGCACCGGCCGACCTACATATCTCCTGTCGTCTGTAGGTTCAGGCCAACTACTTGCTGTTCTGCTAACTTCTGGTTTGGGAGGTAGACCGCTCATGGGGAGTTGCATGATTCAGATATTTCGTGGTTTCTGAAGTTGTGCGTGTATTTAGTGCCGCGGAGATTGAATTCAGTAATCTTCCAGTCTGCGTTGGTGCAACGCTTGGGAGGAGCATCAGACATGCATGTCGATCTGGTGCCACTAGCTTCGACATCTCAGATAGAACGCACGCCCTCTGGAGGGGATGGTATACCTGCGGATTTGGAGGAGGACCTGAGGGCATTTGGGTGCAAGCTCATCCATGAAGCCGGGATATTACTAAAACAGTACGTCTTCATACCTCAGTGCAACGTCTGTAGTCAATCAATCATGCAACACCTGGACAGAAAACAAGTTGCTGTAGCCACAGCTCAAATCCTGTTCCAACGTTTCTGGTATGTAACTTCCATGAAACAGTTCGGTATCGGTGTAAGTCCTCTGCTTTTGATCTCACCCACAACCGACCACCCATGTTCATCACACAGGACATCGGAATGGGAGCCCTATACCTTGCATCCAAACTTGAAGAATGTCCGCTCCGGATGCGCGACCTCATCAACATTTACGACCTTCTTCTCCAACGCACATCCCACACCCTCTCCTCGCCCCAAAACCAAGACACATTCAAATACGCACCGATGTCTTACTTTGGCAACACCTTCTATGATCTCAAAGATGCACTGGTCGTAGCTGAGATGCAGATCCTCAAGCGACTGGGGTTCAACGTCCACGTGGTCCTGCCATATGGCACGCTTATAAACTATCTCCGCGTTTTGGGGTTGACGAGCCGGAAAGATGCTTGTGCGAGGGCGTGGGGGTACCTTAATGATGCGTGAGTGATTATTACGGTCTATATGATGCATTGCGTCGCACGTTCTGATGGGAGCGTAGCCTGCAAACGCCCGTTTACGCATTATACGCAGTCCCAACGATAGTGAGCGCAGCTATCCTCCTTGCTTCTCGTCATCTCGACATATCACTGCCTTCTTCGCCACCTCATTGCTGGTGGGACCTCTTTGATGCGCCTTGGGAGGACGTGTGGAGCGTTTGTGGCTATGTTATGCGTTTGTATCGCGAGCGCACACAGGAGGAGAGGATGAGGGTGATGAGATTGGTGGGCAAGAAAGATGTGAGGGGGTGGCTGGAAGAGAATGCTGCTGTGCAATCTTGAATCTTGATGCGCGGTCTTAGCGATTGGGCTCTGGGCGGATGTGGTTTGGTTCGTGCGGCTTCTTGCTGATCTGCACATTGCAGTAGCCTTATGGTCCGAGGCGATCATGCACTTCTATGCACTCATCAATTCATAGGTCACCGCAACATCGCAATTTCCTTTGACGAACCGTTGTCGCCTCTGCGAATCATAGTCCCGCTTCACAAACGCGTTGAGGATGGCGTTGGCATCATCTCACCGAGACGCTTCTGACTGGAGGCTTTGCACTGGGTGTGCTACCCTAGGCTTTGTCTTGCTCCTCTTCTCTCATTGGCCCTTCGTTTCTCCTCCCCTGTTCTCACCATCCACGTTCAGGAATGCCTCAGTTCTACACCGATTAGCGGTTTACCACTGTATTTGAGGATTTTGTTTCAAATCGTTGCATATTGTATGGGTTGCAAATCTCATTGTAGTGGCGAGGTGAAGTCGCACTCCTGTTCCCATCACTTCCACGTCTCGCAGCTGCATTGTTCGACGTCGATTCCAAAAGCATGTCCGCCTGTTTTCCATACATGACGCTAACAACCATCTTCATTGTCTGCTTAGGGGTGACTAACTCGACATATGTGAGTAAACAGACTCCTCTTTCCTTGCTGTCCCTTTCATGCCCTTTTTTCCACGGAGCACGTCCGATCTGTCACAGCATATGTGCCAGTAGGTGTATTTACTGATAAGCTGTGACCTTATTCATTCTACATCGAGTAGCTGAACAGTAGTGTCCATAATAAGACTTCTCCCCACAGGACAATAAACAAGGATACAAAAAGGAAAAAAAAAACACCCCTGAACTTTTGGTTTGCAATCGTTGTATGCTCCTTTGGTCTGTGAAGAGCCAAACTTTTTTTTGATTAGTTCCCCAGGGTCCATCCCTGACCATGATCATGTTTGCAGAAACGATTCAACTCTATGCGAGCTTCTAGGGAATTGTGAGAGGCTAGTACTCGATTGGCAGTAGTGATTCGCTCTCATGGAAAAAAAAAATCATGGTCGACGTAAGGTGAGGGTATTGCCGATGAGTCAACCTTTTTCCCTTTTCCTCGCTAACAAGTTTTGAGTCATGAAAGAAATTCTTTTAGACTATGGTTTAGAAGTCAGACCGTCCAATCAAACATGGGTGTGGCTCATCAAACTTATTGTGTGTTCTAGGGCCTCCTAATGTGACTTGATGCAACTGCAGCTTACTCCCTCGGACAATGTTGACAGCGTGGAGCCTTGCGAGTTTTCAACCACCGACACCTAGGCTAATTACCGAAAGGATTGCCTAAGGACTACGAGCAGTATAGCCTGCACCGGGCTTGGACGGACTCCCTGTGAACTTGAAGATCACCGCTCACACAGCTAGAAGGAGTCAAGATATTTGCGTGCCTGCGGTATGATGATTTTCCTTACACATTCTTCCATATTTATTATTGACATCGGTTATAAATCAGAGTATGCCCCTACGTCACTTCACAAATTGCCGGCCGCTTCCTCCAAAGAAGCATCAAAGTATCCTCATGGAGTACTTGTGACAAAATTAATAAATATTCATGCACGTTGCACAGGATCGTCTGCCCAGCGGCTATATTGACAGAAGAGTCCGGAAAGAATCAGCCCCGGAGCGCCCGAAGCGGTCATATTGGGTCAAAGCGAATAGCATGCTGTACGTACATCGCAATCATTCTTCAGAACCACGGAATCCTTAACACGATCGTATGTCGCATGCTTTCCATCGACCCCGACTCGGTTGACAAAAAATTAGGAAGACCGTTTCCGTGATCGCGGGTCCGATAGCCTGTCACATCGCCCTTGCTGATCAGAAGCGGCAGCCGTGACAATTCAATTGTCGGAGTCCCTGTTTAGCCTAGTCCACGGAGTGTTGAGAATACCTTGTGGGGCCAGTAATCGTCGTTGGCTAATTTTTTGAATGTCGATGCGCATTAGCCCTCCTGGTACTACATCTGATTTCACCACGTATTTGCGGCGCGCTCGGCTCCTTTGGATTCTGAAAGAAGCTCATTTCCGCCACGTATTGATCACGACAAACAAAATCCGACCTCGGACAATTTGTCTCAAATGGGTGGACCGGCAGTGGGTAACACGGTATTGCCGTCGTGCTTGGTTTCAATCTGACTCAGTAGCTTCTTGTGTCATGTATTGTCCATGACCATGATGAATCATGCTCACGTCTAATCATGAGCCAATGCTAGTACCAAATTCCGATCCACCACCATGAAAAAGATGAGCGACGTCAGCAGGATTCGAACCTACGCCCTCAAAGAGGAACAGATTTCTAATCTGTCGCCGTAACCACTTGGCTATGACGCCATAGGAGGTTATACAGTGACTTGTAAATGATTATCTTTGTTGAATTTTTTTTACTTGAAAACTTCTTGACTGCATCCTGATTCCTCCAGGCAAGGTGAGCACCAAGGCTAAATTGTTAAACTAATATACAAGTTTTGTGCAGGTTTGAGGTTCTCGCCTTGTGTGTTCCGACAACAACGCTCCTCAACGTCACTCCCTCCACAAATCGTGGTTTTCAAGAAATCAAGTATTTTTATTTGAGATCTTCGAAACCAATTTTGTGCAGAAGGCCAGATCTGCAAATATTGCTCACAGGCATCCTTTCCTCTGCGCCGGTTTATTCTGGCACTTTCAGTCGCGAAGAGCAGTCATACCACTCCGTTTTTACAGCTTCGGGGATGCACCGAGTCCGCATATTGGACCATCTAACCTTTGGGGTGTCACAAAAGAATGCGTTCCACAACCTTGCCTTGTGCCTCGGCGCACCTTTTTTGACTAGCAATACCATCACCTTAATGTTGTGGAGCTGGCCGTTGTCTTTATGGAATCGGTGGAATATGTTCTGTCTGTTTATGTTCCCGAAGCTCGATGATGTACAACTCAAAATTCGGCAAGAAAAATCACCTACGTGGAAAAGTACGCAGCTGCCTTATCTGTGAGCGCATCTACGAGGAGCTTGGGCATTGGGTTGAGCCTACACAAACGCCGTCTGTTTCTTTTCGGCAATACCTTCTGGATCATTTTGTTCTCGCCTCTTCATGCTTATTCAATGCATCATGAGTGAGCCTCCCACCCAATTCCCACCGCAACTCCTTAGACTGTATCTCAGACTTGTTCGCGAGTCAGTATTCACCGGTTAACCAATGCCTTTTGGTTGGCACACTGGCCTGTGTCCATCGCTCTGACCTGGTGAGTTATGCCATTGTCATAGAGATTCTTGGAGTGATTGAATGGTTGTGCAGCTCACTAACAAAGAAAGACTTAGTTCGGTCTCTGTTTTTAGGAGGTGCGTTGTACTTCCATTGCTAGGTTGATCATAAACTACAATAAGGACGTTGAAAGCCTAAGGCCTCAAAGACCTCGTTGTATCGTGGTGTATCTTGACCTTGATATCCCTGAGTTGCCCCAGTACTGCCAGAACTACAAGAAGCGGGTGTTGTGTGCTATGGAGTACCATACACCTTGTATCGAGTGTTGAAGGACTTGCCACAGAAATATTCAAACTCAGTTTTTACTTTCTCGCAATGGGCCTGGCACGAAAGAAGATACCTGCAGCCATGGTGTATGAAATGGCGAAACGTTGATCTCGTCCGATCTCAGTCATCGTGATGATCCGGTTTCCTTTTGACGAAGCGCTTTCGGTGTACCAGATTTTGGCTGTATTTATATACACTGAATAATCTCAAGATGCCTTAGATTGTGTTCTAATCCTTCTATGCAGTGGGCAGGCGGGAACATGGTATTTATTGTCCAGTGCCCCGAACTTATAAATGTTGATTTTTCAAACACGTGACTGACGCGGCGTCGCGATCGGCTCTGTTTATCGGTGTGCAAATAAGGTTTGAACTTGGAGTATAAATATCTCGTGTTTGTCGTTGCACTGATATCTCTCAGTCAGTTCCGCCATTATCATCATTCCACGCCCGCCAGCATATCTTTACGATCCTTTATTCATTCACCAATATGATCATTGATCTCTACTACCACCTTAACCCGTGCCGCCCGTGTTGCTCTCCAAGGCTATCTTACAGCCGCTTTCTTCAAAGAAATTGTCATCGACCGCACTATTCAGGTCGTGTCCAGATCAGAGAAGGTTTCTATTAGCCTTGTTAGTAGTACTTAGTACATCCACTGTCTGCTCCTCGACAACTGTCCTTCTAGCCACCGCTAAAGCTGCTCGACAATTCCTCAGCGACGATTTCCAGCACATCCCCGCTCACAAGGACGTCGGTGATACCACTGAGCCCAACGCAGCTTTTTTTGGCAACAACATCGTGGATGCTATCTCAACAACCAAGGCTTTCGGAGCACCAGCTCAGCCATCCTCAATGATTGAATCAAGTCAGCCCGCCTTTGACGGTCAGACCGAAGGCTTATCGATGATTGATTCCGACACGTCGTTCATGGCCCGTGATGAGAATTTAGTCAAGGACATCCTCTCCGGTCATCGCGTCTTAGACACCACAGACCTTGACTCGGAGTGGCTTTCTGACGAAAGCACTTTCTACGAGGTAAGAAGCGGCGCAATGGTTTGGACTTTTAACAACTGACGCTTGGATATGTAGGACGACTGTCAGGCTACAACGCAGTGCCTTACGGACGACAAACCGAAACACACCTTGCATGCCGAATTTGACTCTCACACCATCAACAATCTAATCCGGAGAATGGCAACTCTTTCTCTGAACGATGTACCGTCTCATATATCGAATCTTTCTCTCGACAATGTACCTACCATTTCAACTCTTTCTCTTGACGATGTACCTTCTCATATACCAAATTTTGATCTCGACAATGTACTCCCTCACATCTCAACACACTTTCTTGACGATGTATCCACTCACTTATCAAGTCTTTCTCTCGACAGTGTACCTTCTACTATTTCAACTCTTCTCTCGACGATGTATCCTCTCACTTGTCAACTCTTCCGTCACATCACACTCTATACCACACTATCGACACCCTACCTGATCCATATCAGCCTTCGAAGCTTCGGTCAACACACGCCCTAGACGATCACACTATCACCCACCTACTCGGAACTCTTCCTCCCGATCCTCCTCAGTCATCGAAATGTCAGCCCCAATGCACCCTAGTACACGACTGCCCTATGGATGACTTAATTCGAAGAATGTTAGATCTTTCTCTCGACGATGTTCCATCTCGATTATTGACACTTCAGCCACATCATGCTCTACACCATCACCCTGTTGACACGCTACCAAATAACACAAAAGCTCTTGCTCTCGACGACAACCTCGCTATCGATGCGCTACCAAAAAATACAGACACTCTTACTCTCGACGACAACTGTGCTATCGCCATTGACGCTCTACTACAAAAGTCAGCAACTCTTACTCTCGACGATAACCACGCCATCGCCATCGACGCTCTCCTACAAAAATTAGCAACGCTTACTCTCGACGACAGCTATGATATCGACATGCTGCCCAATAACGCAGACGCTCTTGCTCTCGACGATAACCATGCTATTGCCATTGACGCTCTCCCACAAAAATCAGCAACCCTTACTCGATGACAACTACGATATCAACATGCTGCCCAATAACACAGACTACTCTTGCTCTCAACAATCACGCTATCGACGCTCTACTGCAACAACCAGAAACTCTTACGCTCGGTGACGATGCCTCTCAATCATCAAAGCTTCAGCTACTCCACAACACAAATGTTTTCCCCCTCGATGGTCCATCTCAGTCACCAGAATTTCAGCTGCAGTCCACCCTACACGATAACACTATCGAGATGCTACTACAAAATATGGGTGCTCTTTCCCTCGACAACGATCTCTTTCAGTCGCAGCCGCAGCACATTCCACATGATGACACTATTAACAATTTACTTCAGAAGTTCCAAGTGTTTACCCTTGACGACAGTCCCAATCACAGTCTCGGCCCTCGACACTTGCACTGCAACACTCCCTACGCCATGACACTACCATCATACTACGAAATATTGCACCTCTTACTCACGATAGTCGTTCTTAGTCCTCGGAATTTCGATTACGACACACCCTACACCATGATGCTATCAATACCGTACTTGGAAATGTGGAACTTACTATTCTCGACGGCACTCCCTCGCAGTCGCCAAAATTTCCGTCAGAATACACCGCACTAGCCGTTGAACTCCACACGACATCTACGAATAGTGAGTGGCCTGCTCATACTCTTTCTTTCATTACTGATATCTTAATATTAGAGTCTCCTACGATCAAAAACGTCAGATGTTGATACATCTAACATGTCTCCAGTGTCAAAGTCCCCTACGACCAATCCGGATGACGCCTAATAGCCTCCCTCGCTGTCCCCTACGACATAGAATCACATTCTCCACGAGGTTGCAGGCCCCCCGCACATACTACGCACTCAACATACCGTAAGTCTTCGATGAGTCAGAAGTCCCCTACGACCGTATCTCGACGATGCGCCATACGGCACAACGGCCTCCTTTACCACGCCCTACCACGACCCGGAAGCTGAAGATCATCGCCCACAGCCTTAGAGTCCGCACACTAGTATGTCTAGCAGGCCAACTTGATCCCTTCGGATTTCCTTCGCTAGTACTACACATCGACTACCCATACTATAGAGTTATTTCGATTGTTTTCTCTTTTATTGGTACGATCATAGACTGTCCGGTCAGTTAAATTATGGACTTATACGATCTATGTTTACTTCATTAATATATCTTGTTCTCTATGAATACAAATTTCTTGCATATGTTCAAAGGGCGGGATATATTTGAGGCTCAGAACATTCCGTTACCAAGGCCAGCACTGAGTACTGAGCAGTGGTTATCGCATTGCAACTGAGATCGCTCTATCGAGAGAACTAATTCCCTCCATTCTCTACCGATGCTATTCTATATGCTACTGTCAATTTTCGTGTTACCAAGCAAAAATCAGATCTATAGATCAACGCCCAGGAATGACGGCTGTTTTTTAGAAATAGTAGTAATAATTGTAAGGCGATTTTGGCAATACAAAGGGTTTGCGACCCGATGCATCGTCTCGAACCTGTGCGGAAAGTCCAGCATGAACTGTAATGTATTGATAGGCGGGTAGACCACAGTAACTCGTAGCACAGTTCGGACTGTTTCGACGATTCTGCCAGAATCGAAAGTAATGTGTTGAGTAAAGTTTCACCGGCAACAGAATGATGAATCTTTAGAGACAAGAACGAGACGCAGCTACTAGAAGGGGGTTGGGTGCGACAAAATGCGAGTGTAGTCGAGCAGTACAGAACTTTTGAGCACTAGCATGGTAGTACGAAGCAAGAAGAACCGAAATCGTGGCTTGAACTTACACATCATGATAATATAACCTCTGCGCTTGCTAGGGGTCACTTTATGCATGACTGTGATGGACGATCGTAGTAGACGTAGTATTTCGTGCCTGATATCGTTTTCCTAAAACCACTGCAGTCGGACCTAATGATATCATTGTGACAGATGAACAACATTGGCAATAAACGCTTCCCTAGCAGAAGTAATGTTACCACCTGCCTTCTGTAGCAATTCCGCAGTCCTTTTTTACATGGGACCACCACAATGAGAGCGCGAGGGCACACACTTTTGGAGTTTAAGCTTTAAGAGTTGCAGCATTTTCGGATGCATGACTGCGCATATTGTTGAACACACTTCCATTCATCTCGAGTTGGAGTTAGTCGGAAGTCAAGCTTTGAGCTCCGCTCACCCTCATTACAAATGATGTTTATATAATTTTGTTTTGAACCGTAAAATATCTCTGGTAGTATATCGGATAGTACACCCGCCTGTCACGCGGGAAAGCGGGGTTCGATTCCCCGCCAGACAGATTTTTTAATTTGAGACCAACTTGTGCAATTTTATAAAGTTATTTGCGACTTACAACATTAAATTTTTTGATCTGGCAACAAATTAATCAAGGCCAAGGTGACAAGGTCACCACCCCGGGCCATGCAGAATCGTGTGAAGTGCCTCTGGAGTCTGGATCCAGGCGCTTGGAGACTAAGGGTGATTCAGTCGCCCAGCAACTGACTGCTCTGTGACTGCTACTAGTATTGTAACCAACTGCTGCAATTTGCACGACTTATGTTTCTAAATTTCTAGCGATGATTCAGCGTACCGTGCCAAAGGCTCTGATTTTGGTCATGTTGGGAATTTACTCTGATGAGCAAGACGCTCGTGCGCTCGTGCAACCGCACGAGCGCCTAGTCATCCTTCAAAGCTTCCACTACCCCACCAGATTCCAGTGAGCTTTTCACAGCACTAGAACCAACATTCATCTCCTGGAAATCTCTATCATTGTACGGTAAGTGGTACAGTTCGAATGTTTCACTACCAAACTCATCACCGGTTTGCAGAATTACTACGCTAAATTGACACCAAAACATCTGAGTCGTTTCTCAACTTCAGTCAACCTGTAATCATTGATTTAACGTCCTCGTAAGTTGCGAGATACCCCTGCTTCTATGATTTCCCACTGTCGTACCCACTAGTACTTCTTGGAGTTCATTCCATTTATCTGCATTGCCATAATTATCATCCCCTTTCCAAAGAACCAACGTCAGTATAGCCGTCTCCTATCCCCCCTCTTGTTCTCTGACATCATCAACAGATCTTTGACATGTCTGAAGGAACCTGGGAGAAGTTTTCCCAGGTCGCTGTGAAGGGTGCTGAACATGACTCTCGTGAACGCCGGCCCCATCCGAAATGTTTGGAAGGGACCCGAGTGGTCCTTCTTAACCACATTTATGGATTATCCGATACCAAAGAGATGAATAGACTCATCTGGTTGCATGGCACAGCCGGCGTTGGGAAGTCTGCTGTAGCGTTCACTGTAGCTGAAAGAATGGGAGGTCTGAAAATGACCAAGGAGACGAAAGTAGAAACGCGGCTTGGTGGAACATTCTTCTTCTCGCGCAAGCACACGACACGCCGCACGACTGGTTATTTCTTTATGACGCTTGCCTACCAGCTTGCTCAAAATTTTCCCAGCATTCAGACAGACGTGAACAGAGCTATCCTCAAGGACCCCACCCTTCTAGACCCCGACAAGTCACTTCGCAAGCAGATGGAGGGGTTGTTTCTGCAACCTCTGCGGAAGCTTTAATACAGAGTACGCGAGTGTCCACCTTTGACGTTCGTTGTTGACGCCCTTGATGAATGCACAAACGAATCCCCCAATGAATACTCATCCGAATCCAGGGACGAAGGCGAATCCGAAAGCGAGCTTACCGAACTCATTTCCCTGCTCGCCCAAGTTCTTCGCGATCCTGATCTGCCTTCGATCCATATTCTAGTCACGAGTCGCTCGGAAGCACATATTTTTGAAGCTATGCAGAACGCAGATGTGCGACCATTGCTGTGCGAGATACCAGTGAAGATTTCTGGGGAGGGTGTTACTCCTATCATCTCGCTAGATGGCGCAGATGTTGATGAAGATATCTATCGTTTCTTGGAGCATTCGTTCAGGAAGCTGCAAAATCGCTCTCCCACCTTCCCGCAACCAACGCAGGATCAAATTGAGAAGCTGGCGATCCGAGCGGGCAGACGTTTCATTGTGGCGTCTACAATGATGAAGTTTATTGACGATCGAAACAACGATCCCCGTGACCGGCTTCACCTCATGCTTGAGCTAACAAGTGAACTGTTACCAGGAACGGAGGTGTACGAGTTATATGACCGCATCCTCTCCACATGCGCTGATCCGAAGCTGGCATACCTACACTTGTCCGTTGTTGCTGCCCTTACAGATCCGCTACCGATCTCACAAATCTCGGAACTTCTTGGCCCTGGTCAGGGCAGGGATGTTGAGAAAGTGTTGGTGCAACTGCGCTCTGTCATAGATGTTCCTCCCAACAGCAGTCTCCCCGTGAATATCTATCACTCGTCTGTTCGTGATTATGTTTCCCATCGCTCAAACTGCAGTCTCTATATCACTTCACCTCACTCCCTACTCACACATTCTTCTCTCCGCATGATGGTGCAAGAACTCCCAGGCTGCTCAGCCCTGTTAGATGCGCTCTTAGCATTGAAGAAGCAGAGTCAAGTTATGGAACCCCACGATCCCCAAAATCTAATACACTCATTATCTTTCATCGTCCAGCCGCCGGAACCAATGCAAGTGCTTGTAACTCTCCTCTGGCTTCGGGGAAATCACAGTTCAGAGTTACGATTCTGGCTAGGCACTCAAGACGGGCATGCCTGGCTGGAAAGTCTGGACGGGCGTGCCTGGCTGCAAACTCAGGAAGGGAAGGACTGGCTGCAGATTGAGATGGCGCAAAGCTGGTTGGACATCTCCTACCAGCTGCAGACCCAGCGTGGGCAAAACTTAGTCTCCCGCATTCGAACTATATTGGCAAGAATGCCGTCGTTAGTTCTGCGACACTTACCCCAGACCCAGGACCTATCGCAGACCCAGGACCCATTGCAGATAGATTATTCTGAACCGGGGCCGGTCCGGGATTTATCGCAGACCCAGGACCCATTGCGGATAGATTATTCTGAACCGGGGCCGGTCGGGGACCTATCGCAGACCCAGGACCCATTGCGGATACATCATTCTGAAATGGGGCCGGTCCTGGACCTACTGCAGATGCAACATTCCGAGGGATCACGAAGCCAGTCTATGTCGGACCCGCCGCAGACCCAGCGCAAGAAAACGACTCGGGGTAGGAGCAGCTGGCTGCGGAGCCAGGAGGGAAAGGACTGGGTGCAGAGCAATGTAGGGAAGGACTGGGTGCAGACCCAAGGGGGGAAGGACTGGCTACAGACTCAGGGAGGGAGGCACTGGGTGCAGACCCACGGCGTACCGGACTGGCTGCAAACCAAGGGCGGGCGACAGTGGCTGCAGACTCTCGGTGGCCAAGACTGGCTGCAGGCCTTTGGCGGCCGAAACTGGCTGCAAAGCGAGCACGGGCAAGACTGGCTGCAGACCCACGATGGACAAGACTGGCTGCCTACTCGGGGTGGGACTGACTGGCTACAGACTCGGAGTGCGCGGAACTGGCTGCAAACCCCAGACGGGCGAGACTGGTTGCACACGCCACAAGGTCAAATGTGGCGGTTGACGACTGCCTGGATGGCAATGGAGGAATTTTCGAACACATTGGAAGGGATTAAACAACATCACATCATCGTCCCGGAATTGTCTTCACAGCCAGCTTTTCAAGTCATTCAGCAATTCAAGAGCTTGCCGGACTTCTTGATGTTTCCTGTGTTCTTGGCGTTAAGGCACCAGGATCATTCCACCACCTCTGCATTCGCACAAGGCCCCCACCTCCTACCAGACTTGGAGATTATCCATGCAATGAAGACCTTTTCTGTTTTCGCAAACAAAGCACGCGAACGAAGTCAATCATCTTCCGATGTTCTCAATTACGCATGTCAAAACTGGGCCGTCCATACCTCGCGAGCTCCGAAGCCATGGGACGAGAAACTTGCCCATATATTTAAGTCTTTCTGGGATCGCCATCTCCTCGACTGGCTCGAGAGACAGTGGTGTGTGAAGGATCTGCAGTCTTGCCTAATCGTTTTAGCTGAAGGCGAGAAAATTGCAAAGGTGTGTGCACTGTGTTCACTATGATTTCCTCTTAGTATCGTAAGCCGACCTACGCATACAGGAACATCTTCTCCACGCCCCGGATCATCTCAATAACCAGTCTGAAGCTGTTGGGGTTTCCGAAAGCGATAGACCTGCAAGGGTACGTGTGCTCACAATGGTATCCTCCTAGACTCACAAGTTGACCAACGCACATAGGAACATATTCTCCGCACCCCAGATCGTCTCAATAACCAGTCTGAAGTTGTCGAGGTTTCCGAAGGTGAGAAACCTGCAAAGGTCCGTGTACTCACAATGGTTTCTTCTTAGACTTGCAAGCTGACCTACCCACACAGGAATGTCTTTTCAAAATCCCAGATCATCTCAATGACCAGTCTGAAGTTGTCGGGTTTATGCGGCGTGTCGTACAGTCTTGTATCACCTTTCTTCGCATGTTCAAATGTTAAACAATACGTGATAGGTCGTGTAAGGCCACATGTACGACAGAGCCCGCTGCTTTCTTTCGATTATCTTGCTTCATAGATTGTTTGTACTATGTATTGATACTGTTGTGCTTTTGAAGATGTAAAACAAAGTTACACCGCAAGTGCCAGTTTGCGGTACGTCTGAATTAGAATTTCACGAAGTCTGAGTGAACTTGAATGCATCACAGTAACTGTAGAAAGGATAAGCTAATGTTATGAGTACAGCCAGTAAATTTGTATCGGAACAACTGGATTGAAGGTGTATTGCACAGGGGTTGTTGGGCAGCGTCGGTGACCGTTACATACTACGCGGTCTTTCAACCTCAGACAAGGATTCTTCGGCATTGATCCAATATAGAGAGCAAGTAGATAGCAAAATTACATCAAAAATATCAATCGCTTAGTATCGCCTGTACAACGTTTGCAACTCTCAGCTGCCGGAGGTCTGTATATGTCTTTTGAAAGCAGTCAGAATGGGGGCTATGTGTGAGTGGGAGAGATAAAAACCAACCTGGCCACATCCGACAAAAATAATTGGCTGGCCTGTCACATATGTCATCGAGAGCGCTGCACCAACCTATGCAGGAGTGTTAGATGTCATTGCCGCGGCAAGCAAACCACGCACCTTGTCATCCACTGTGTCCCATTTGGTCACTAGCATGCCATCGATGCCACGCCCCTTGCCCGAGCCGGATGCAGACGAAAAGTCGCGAAGGGCGCGGTCGAACTTAGTAAGCTGGTCGACGGCCTCGTTGCCAACGAGCGCCTCGCCGACAAAGATTATTTTGTCTGGGTTATTTGCGGAGACAAGCTGTGGAGTTCATTAGCGGAGTTCTAAGAAGTTTTCACGGCGTATCATACCTTGGCAAGTGCACGCATGAGAGGCTAGCCGGAAATGATCCATCAGGATTGTGACAATGATAGTACGGGGTTACATACCTCGTTGTCTTGCATGCGCCCAGCTGTGTCGATTAAGACCACATCAAAGTCATTATCTTTGGCTGGGTACGGATTCGTGAGTTAAAAATGCACTTCGAAATATGGAAATTCCTTACCATATGCGATGGCTTCTTTAGCGATGCCCGCAGCATCCTTCCCGTACCCTTTCTCATAAAGTTCAACACGGCCTTTGCTATTCGTTGCGCCGTTGACGCCAAGCATAGAAAGATTGCGCACATGTACGCGAAGCTGTTCGACCGCACCGCTCCTACACGGTTGTTCAAAATAAGTGCAACTAGTATTACTGACCAGGCTCTCTTACCGGAAAGTGTCACAGGCTGCAATGAGCACTCGCATGCCATTCTGGATGAGCCAGAAACAGACTTTTGACAAGTTTGTGCTCTTTCCTACGCCGTTCACGCCCACAAAAGTAATGCTATAAGGCATCCTTTGTTGAGCGGAAGGTAGGGGAGAAGAAAGTTTAGTCCTGATTGACAATAATAAGTCTGTTGAGGTCTTGGGCGTTAGAATACGAGTGAGCGAAGAGGACAGTGCCGTCCGAACAGCGTTGCTGGTGGCTGAATCTACGTCAGAATAGTTAAAGATACGAAACACGACATACTTTGGAATCCTCCCACTTTCTTCCCCACGAGACTCTCTCCGACACCTTCGCAGACCTTGTCTGCAATTTCCATGGCGACATTTTTCTTCATAAGGTGTTGTTTCATCCCCTCCAATACAGGCTTCAAATCTTGTTCGGTTAAAACTTTGGAGCCTGTCAAACGCGAGAACAAAGAACTCAGAGCGCCCAATGAGCCTGTTGGCTGCTTTGCAGCCTCGTTCTTCAAAGCACGGGTGATAGCGCCATTCGCCTCGTCGTCCTTTCCACCAAAGTCCCAATCTTTCACCTCATAAAAGCCATCCCTTGTCCTAGTTCCGAGAGAAGCCTTGTCTACAAGGGCTTGCAGGTCGTGCGATAAATGACCACGTGTGCCGGAGTCAGGCTTGTCGATGCTAAAGTCCAAAGAGGCCATTTCTGTTTCTGACGGGGCCGATTCAGCCCATTTCCGCTGCGCCTTCCCTTTCGCCCTTTTACTCGTTGACTCGGAGCTGTATGACATAAAACATTGGTTTGAATTACAATGATTTGCACACTTACTCTGAAGTTGGCATGCTGTCCCGGCCACTTTCCGAGTCCACTCTCGTCGCACCTCGGCCCCCTCTCCGACCACCCCGGCCACGCAGTCTATTCTTGAGTGCTTGTACATTCCGAGCTATCTGTTGCTCATCCTGCACTGCAATGGACGATTCGGAGGGAACTGAAGGCCGTTCATGTATATATTCGCAATGTATTAAATAGAAGACTCGCCCGTACTGAGGTCATCGGAAGGAGGACTGGAGTCGGGCAGAGCTGGAGCCACTTGCCTATAGCGAGACTTCCGTTCCTGCAGGCTTAGTGTGAGCAAGTACGATGTATGTGCGAGAACAAGCACGCACCTGAGCAGCTTTGTCTTCAAATCCCTTCAAGAGCTTTTCGAAGACACCATCCCAGCCTTCAAATGCTTTTGCAAAGTTCCACGCCTTGGGAGAGTCGCGCGCAGCAGTTGATACGAGTTTCCCGCTTTTTATTGCATGCAGCGAAGCGACGAAAGTAGCCAGGAATGGCTCGAATAGTTTTATAAACAGTGCTTTGAGAGCAGCCAGGAGATCATCCACATAAGTTAGTTGAAGAATGCGGTGATATGCAACCTGCATTTCTGAATGTCAGTCGAGAGTTACTCCGGCAGCATGGACAGCGAACGTACCACAAAAATCAACTCCAGATCATTAAAGAATGTCCACTTCACTGCGTATCCGTCCTTCTCGTATTTCTCCTCGGCTGTCCGCCCTTCGATCAAGGCTTCACGTATGAGAGAATTTACGGGAGACGAAGGAGAAGAAGCCAAGTAAGATGCCTCTGGGGTAAAGGAGCGTGACCATAATACAATACCTCCTGCAACTGATAGTGAGGTTCATCTGCTTCAAAATGATTATTAGACCGACCTTTGTGCGAGATTGAGCAATGGTCCAGCATGGTCGAAAGTAATGCCTACTTACTACGGACACCGCATCATAACTTCGATTGATTACATAAGCGAGGTTTGGTCTTGGCGTGGGAAATGGACTTTTTGCAGTCTCACATAAGTACATCGACGAGGAAGTTTTGAAGCCTCGTCCCAACCTCGCCCAGCTCACTGCTCAGCGCTCAATAGCAGCCAAGTGACCACGACAACAGCCTGGGATATTCTGATGCGAGCCAATCTAAAGGGTGGATAAGATGCAACTTGAAGTCGATCTGTTTTTCGGCTTATAACTAGCCTGCATTTCTATCATGCTCATGCGAAATCCACCTCGTGCTTAGTATTAACCTTCTCATGGATCGCAGTACCTGCAGACAACGGGGATGTTTTGGGCTATCTCTGCGATGTGGTGTGTGCATTTGCCGTGAACTTCATTTTTTGATCCAGGCTGATGACTAGAAGGCCCCGCGCCACGTCCTGGTCAGTGTACATCACATCCTGCGCACCACTAGTTTCCAAGGTCAGCATTCATTGTCCGATGATACTATGCAAATGCTAACCAAATATCGTTAAGTCCACTCCTTTTCCTGATCTACGAGCTTGTTTTGCATGTGCTCATTCCAACATCTACTGGCAGGACTTCATATCACCAAGTCCAGCCATAAATAATAGTGCAAGGTACAGTACGTCGATAGGGATGCCACCTTCGCAGGCACCGTTGCCGTGATACGGCGGCGCCACGGGCTGATGTCATGCATGATGTATCATCCTCAAGCCCATTTTCGGCTTTCGCTATGCACCGCAGTGCCATGCTGGAGCGTGGAACTGGCAACTATGGGCTTTTCTTTGCATAATTGGATAGGACAACCTTGCTATAACCCATTTTAGGAACCGTGGTCACAGCAAGTTAAGCCCCTTTTGCCGTTGATTGAATCGAGGCAGAAGATGGATTCGGCCGATTTTACCTATCACATGGTCATAATTATATGCATCTACTAGCTGTTGACTTCAATGACTACGATGGGAGATGAGGAGTCACGTGATACAAACCTAGCGAAATAGAAAAGTTCACTCCATGAACATCGCTATCGTATGGCCATAATGTGGTATAGGGTACATTGGATCTGACGCCGCTTTACTATGGCCATGCGATAGGAGATGAAGGGGCACATGCTTCGAGCACTTAGTTTCCTGCGTATCTCCTGGAGGCGATGTTGTTGTTATTCAGTGCATAAAGAAGCTTCCGCAAAGCTTGAATTGTTGATGAGCATATCCCCTATGGGTGTATACCGGACTTTGGCGACACGGAGGGAGAACAACGCACTTAAGCCGCCGCATAACTCGAGAGTCTAGAAGGTTGATTAACAGTACATAAATCCTCGTGGATGAATACCATGTACCAATATCAAACATCCGACTCCAGAATAAAAGTTCAGTAAACATACATGAAAAATAATAATAACGTTAAACCTTCCTCCTAATCCCAATGTCCACACTAGGTCGTACAGGTCTCAACGGGGGTAAAGGCTGTGTATCTGCACCGTTACGAACGGAATCTGGCAGCGGGCGCGTCAGCGGGACAACGGAGAGCTCCCACAGATCAGCATATGCGTTCTGCAAGGTCTCCACTGCGCGAGAAGGCTCCATGGGGTACGTATTTTGCATCAAGGGCGCGTAGTTAGTGTCGGTAGGAAGGGGGGATATAGATCTGTAGTCTTTCCGAGTATCGAACTTTCCTGTGTCACGGGACCAGAACTCTCGGGAGCTGCCAATACTGGATACCCTGCGCGCCGTGTTGCCCATCGCCATGGATTCATCCGAACCCTGCTGACCTGAGCGCCGAAGAGGCTGCAACGATTTTTCTAAACTGAAACGCGTAGATTGCTCATCTGACCCTCCTATCCCCATCCCATCTAGGAGTTTCATATTCGACATGGCAGGACTCGTGTAATACGAGTCTTGTCGTAGTGGTAGAGGGACGTCATTGCGTGCCCATGAAGGAACGATTTCTACACCGGAATCTAGGCGGAGGACGGGCATCTCTCCGCGTTTAATGGTTTCTGCGAATTCGGAGGAGGGTGCGACATGTTTTCTGCGTCGACGGTAGAGGATGAGTCCGAGGACGAGCAATACTAGGATGACGACTCCACCGATAACGCCGCCTGCTATGGCGCCGGTATTGCCATTTGTGGAGGAAATTGTTAACGAGCTGGTCGTATTTCCCGATGATGTTGATGCTGCCGCAGCTGATGATGATGATAATGATGATGTATTTTGTTCAGCGGAAGATTGGGGTGATGTCACCACGGCTGTGGGGGTTGTGGAAGTTGATATTATAGGAGAGGTCCCGGGGATGTTGGTTGTAGAAGAAATTGCGGTTATAGAAGAGGCCCCACCGGTGTCGGGTGGGGAAGAGTCTGAAGAGGTCCCACCGGCGTCAGATGCAGAAGAGGACCCAACGGTGTCGGGTGTAGTAGAGGATCCGGTGGTAGTGGGTGATGGAGAAGAGGCGGGAGTACTAGTGCTGGCAGTCGGAGGGAAAGCGCCTGACCTGGTTTGGTTTGGTCTGCCCATCTTTCACTGCAGAGTCGACGACGAGAAGTTAATAGCGCGCGAGTTGTTATGCACGAATACACTGTTAAAACATATATTAAACACCCATTCAAAGACACCAAGCGAACACTCACAATCAACATAGACCAGCACGAATACAAGTACTGCCCTGCATCCAAAGTCAAGATGCTCAGTACGAACCTCAGTAGACTGGTGGGAGGAAGAAACGAGTAGCACCAGGGCAATCAAAAAAAAAGAAGCAAGAGACAAAAAAGAAAAAAAAGGCGCTCAAGGGGGGAGTAAAAACAACCCGCTTTGACATGTGAGAGTGGGCCAACTCATCACATCAGACGTTTATCTGAGGCTGTACCAGGTTCAGATGCGAGGTGGCCGGCACGCGTGATCAGCTTCGCCTCTGTTACAAACGCTCCAGTACCCAAGCTAAGAATAAGCGAGGTCAACCCGTTGGAGCTCCGCAAGTGAGATCAGCATCAGATTTGCGGTGAGCTGACATATGCTTTCCATCGCTTTCCGTAGCTGTAGTACTATATGTACTAGTAGCCGGACACCTATCGGTATCCGGGCTTTTGCGTCTACCGTCAAAGCATTCAAGATGAGAGTTGTACCTGTTCTCGTCAGCGCAGATAATTATGCATATCTCCTCATCGACGAGCCAACAAGGAAGGCGGCGGTGGTGGATGTATTAGACGTAGAAAAGGTACAGGCTGTAGCGGATAAAGAAGGCGTCAGCATCGTCGCTGGCATCACTACACATCACCATCAAGATCATAGTGGTGGAAACAAGGCATGTTTATTCTTGACATCACTGATGTACTGGCCACTAACGGTTTATACTAGACACTGGTGCGTAACGTGCCCAATATGTACGATTGATGGTTTACCCTCGTTCCACGCAAGGTTTCCACGTATCCTAGTATCCCCGTTTATGGAGGTTTTGATGTGCCTGCTAAAACACACCTCGTCGAGGATGGTGGCGAGTTCACTGTCGGTGATAATATACATGTTCGGTGGGCCCAGTAAACTTCGCCCAATTCCTTTCATAGCTAAATGTCGACAACAGGTGCTTGGCAACCCCATGCCATACCAAGGATTCTATTTGCTTCCATGCAACGGACACATCCATCAAGTCTCAGTCCGGCGGTGTGTTCACTGGTGATACTCTTTTCTTAGGTATGTATGCGCTAGTAGTCCCCTAACTCGTCACATTCTTGACACCACCCCAGGCGGGTGCGGTCGTTTCTTCGAAGGGACGGCAGAGCAAATGCACGCCTCCCTTTCGAAACTAGCAGCGCTTCCAGACGACACGGTCGTATACAACGGTCACGAATATACAGCTGGCAATGTTGCGTTCGCGAAGACTATTGAGCCCGAGAACCCGGCCATTGGCCGGCTTTTCAAGCTCGCACAGGAGAACAAGGTTACCACCGGTCTGTCGACAATCGGTGATGAGAAGGAGTGGAATGTGTTCATGCGTTTGGATAAAGTTGCGATAATGTATGCAGTGTTTGTTGGTCATAGCCATGATGCTGATTTTTGTACAGGCAGGCTACTGGTGCAGAGGGACCTGGTGCAGTTATGAACAAGTTGCGTGAGCTGAAGAACAACTTTAGGGGGTGAGGAAGCACGTTTCTATAGTTTGAGTCGACTGAGGAATAGGGTTAGAGCAAGGCTTTAGTGCGGGTAGTAAGAACAGCAAAGTGTTTATTGATTATCTGGCAGGGAACAAACTCAACAGGTGTATTGATATAACATTGCAAAGCAGTGGGAGTCCATGAGGCATGATTAATGATGGTCTCGTAAACATACATATAATTAACTCATTCCGACGAGTTTGAGCACTGCTGATCGGGCGTATGGAATGTATGATAGGTTATACCAGGTGTAGGCAAGGTATTCGATGACGACAAAAACTGATGAGATCAAAACGTTACGTGGGTCGGCAAGTTCCAGAGTTCTAGGGCTTACTGATGCATAGTACCTGGAGATAAGGATTAGCGTAGTCTAGGTACAGGAAAGGGAGGACGAACCTCGTTCCTAAGTACGAAGGCACCGACGAAGACGAGGCCCACTGAGCCGAGAAATACGATTGTGGCGATAATTCGTACCGGTTTAAACATCTATGGGGAAAGTATTTGAGTTGTGCTAGGTAGAAGACATGGAACGTACAAGCTTAAATTGGGAGGCAAACTAGGAGATGTCAGTGTCAATTATACAATAAGGGGGGGGGGACTGACTCCAATGACGAAACCGGTGCCCACGAGGGACACCATGATACCAATGGTGTACAAAACTTTTGAAAGAGGCTGTCATAGTGGTACTTGGATGAAGAATGAGTGAAACGGACCTGCAAAACTACCGAGCTGACCCAAGAAAAGCAATATGCTGCCTAGTAAACTAAGGGCGAACCCTATGATGAGACTGGGAAAGGTTCAGCTACGGATGGTAAATGGAAAATTAGAGCATGCACCAGCCAACAAAGCCGTATAATCTTTGTGTACGAGTTAAGCCAAGGAACTTGAAGGCAGAGTCGCCCTCGAAAAACTGAGTCTCGGGGATCATGCCACCCGCAGATTCGAGGTTGAACCATCCTTTGGAGGGCATTTTGGATTAGGGTGATGTTGAGGTTGAAGCCAAGGGTTTAGAGGTGTTTGAGGCCCGCGCAGCTTTCCCACGGTTAGGGAACTGGTATTAAGTCACTTAGATACATATGTCCTCCTGTAGACGAGGCTTCATTTTCATTCAGATTGCTCCTCGTGTAGTAAATATTCACTAAATCTAACATCACCCATTGGACCATCAGATGAAGTATATTTTTATTGGTCCTGCGGGGAATGATACGAGAGGAGGCTATACATTGCATTATTACTTACGGAGTTGCTCAGTTGGTGTTTATTTGGATAACGCGCCTCGTGTGTTCAACGAGGCCGACTGAGTTAGTTTTTTGTTCAACGAACGATTCTCTTCTAGCTGGGTTGATAATGGAACAGTCCAATCTTCATGACAAGCTTTTCTCAAGAGGAAGCGCAACTCCTCCTCCTCCTCCTCCAACTTATCTTGATTCATTGTTTCAATCTGCCACATCTCACGGAAATTCAGCCCCTGCTACTCCAAGCATGGATGATACTTCAGCTCCAGCTGTCTCTACATCTCCAGCTGATAGACAGAGCGCTCTCCTTTCCCTGTTATATCCTGCCGCAACTTCAATACCTGCTATCAGACCACTTCAACAGTCTCCTCCTGCTTCTTCTATAAGATCAGGTCAATCACCCTCAAATAACAGTGAAACTCAAGGAAAGATCCTCCTAGAACAGCTCATGGGGTCAGTCAACTTTCATTCTTGCCTCACTTCATACACGAGGCTCTTTTAAAAATCCTTTTATTCCATTTCTTTTCATTCCGCCTCCCATTTCTTCTACCATGACCTCTTGGGATTTCCTTGATACATTTTATGCTGATCTTTATGACAGTACCGCCTCCCGCTCAAATTTTTCAGAGCCTGCTCCACAACCAATGTCGACGTTACCCCCTGCCGCTAGTCCCCAGTTTCAGTCCTCTATGGGACAGTCGTCCATGGCCCAGTCTTCTATCGGAGACACCTATCATCTTAATGAGGGCCCTTACATTCAGCAAGAGCAGCCAAGGGATACAAAACCACCCATCCCCCAGCCTCAACAGCCCCAGCAGCTCACACCCTCTCCCCGCAAGTCCATGTTTGAATTTGTTTCTCCTTTCGATGCTCTTGACTCCACCTCAACCGTAAAGAAGAAACCTGTTATCGCAGGTCCCGCAAGTGCATCCAGCACAAACGAGGACTCCTGGACATCCGCTTCCCTGGGCTCTCTCAATGACCCAAAGCGCAAGTCTGTCGAGAACCTAATGGACCAGTTGACTAGGTCCCAGCAGTCCTACCCCCCTGCACAGCCTCCATCCCCTGCCTATGACCCTTATAGCACTACAGACGAGTATTCCCAGGTTGAATCACAGCCGACCCCTCAGCAGCAACCCCTCCAACCTCGTACCATGCCCCCGCCCCCTCCTCTTCCTCCCAAACCTGGCCGTGTGTCGCCCCCTAGGGGCTCTCCTCCGAAGCCTGCCCCACAGCAGCCGCGTCCACAGCCACGCCCTGTCGAGTCACCTCTTGGTCAGGCTCCCACTCCACCTGCGAGGCGAGACAAGGATGGATCACCCGGTCCTCGCAACACCTGGAAGAACGAATCCAGAGCCAAAGGTACCGCTAAAGGAAAGCCACAGACGAGTCCGAGGCAAGCTTTTCACATTTTCAACATGTGCCTTCACTGATTCCTTTTCTAGCTTGCAACCTCAAACTATCGTATTCGATGTATCACAGCCGCTGGACGATGTGCAGGCTCCTAGGGATGCCGTCAAATCTACTGCAATTGCTCTGGTCAAACAGGACTCTGTATTCTTACCTGGTACGACCATCGGCGCTACCCATTGGATTGCGTATGCCATGACCAAGGGTCGTGTTCGTGTTATCTCGCGGTCGAGTGGTGATCGCACTCTGCTTCAGCTGCCGACAGTCTTTGCACCTTCCACCTCGGTCATTGATATGGCTGTGTATGGTAACAGGCTCGCAGGTGTCACTTCCGATGGCGGATTTGTCGTGTGGGAACTGCCTGAGGTTATCACTGATGATGTACCGTGAGTGTCTCGGTGCCCAACATATTCCTGGTCTAATAATATTTGCAGCGGGCGACTCTTGTTGTGCATCGTCCCCAGCGCTGACGCTGACCCTCTTCACTCCGTAAAATGGCATCCCAAGCAACCCGACACTCTGGCAGTGGCTTCGGAGACCAAAATGTATTTACTTGATCTAGCAGACGCTGCGCGTACTTTTAGAGGAGAGCCTTTGCCACAAGTTGAATTGAACCGTATTTCTCAAGTATTTTCTGTACCATCGGTCAGTCCATCGCTTCACTTTTTGGTGTGTTCTTATCCTTCGTAACAGCGCTTGGTCGCGTTTGATTTCGATGTTCCTCATTTTGCACTGGCTACTATTTCCGAGGACTCCACTCTTACTCTGTGGAACGTCCATGACAAGATGCCTTTCTGGACGCACCGCGTTCGCGGCGACGACGTCCCCTCATCTTTGACATTCATCGACGACGGCATTGTCATAGGGAGGAAGAACGGCACGGTGTTCCAGCTCCTCTCTGTCATCACCAAGAACGTCCTCTCCACATTTAAATTCGTCAACGGAAACAAAGAAGACCCCGACATGTTCGGACACGTCAACTACGACTCCCGAATCCAGACGCTCTGGGTTGCCAACAACCGGCGCGACAGTCTCATCTCCCTGCGCATCGGGTTCGATGTCAGCGCTTCGCCTTCGGGCGAACTCGTCCGTGGCGGGTTCTTCGAGCAAGTCGTCGAGTTCTCCGGGCCGAAACCGACCATCCACTTTGTGATACTCTCAGCAGACGCAGACCCTACAGGTGATGAAGCGCACGCTGCATGCGTCGCTGCTAAGCTCCCCCCGGGAGACCTCGCGCTCGTCGCGTTCTCTGTGCATTCTACCGGTGTTGATCAGGTGCTGATCAGGAAAGAGTGGTATGATACGGCTGTTTTGAACGCCCCTGGAAAGTTCCCACCTTATATGCCTGCGGCCCCCGCAGAAGTAAAGGGTACAGGGCGTCAGATGCCTCCTGCGCCTGTGAACATCGGTGGGCCTGGGCCTGCTCCCGTGCCAGCCATACAGTCCTCTGGATCCGGGTCTGGAAGCATTCTCCCACCTCGTACACTTCGAACTCCTCCTTCTGAAGAACTTGAGGGTGATATCGCGCGCGACGAAGTCCGTACACATGAAGGCAAGGGAAAGAACATCCGAGGGAAGAATGTAGCGTTTAGGGATCGCGAAGCTGCGAATCTGAACTTGAAAGAGACTGAGAAATTAACGAGCTTCAAGGGCGATGCGGGCGCTGGTGCTGACAATGGGATTGCACTAGTCGTCACCAAGGAGATCAAAAAGAGCGAGGAGAGCTTGCATACGCGTATTGGACGGTTAATTGGGAAGGAGATGGATAAACAACGTAAGTGGCTGATGTGTCTTTTGCGGTGTTTTGCTGTTGATCCTGGTTTTGGTTCCCAGACCAACGGATGGAAGAAGCGCGCGTTCAAGAGCAGGCTGAGGATTTCAATCGACAGGAGAAGATTCTGAAGCTAATATCGACGGAGCTTACAAGAAACACGACGAGGGTTGTTGAGATGGCTGTTAAAGCTGAAGTCCAGAACTCAGTCTTACCTGCGCTGGAGCACATCACGAGGACGGAAGTTCGGGCTGCTCTTAATGAGCATGTTGGGAGGGGGTTGACAGAGTTTATCCAGAACGTACGTTGTGCTACTCTCGGTTTTTGACCTGACTCAACTTTTGTTGGATGTGTGCAGAGCCTTCCGAATGAGATCGAGAAACTGCTTTTACGCCCTGATATCTCGAGCCATTTCGCTAGTATCCTCTCGACGAATTTGAACCCTCTGATCGAGCGGTACATCAAGGACGCCGTCACAAAGAACATCATCCCTACGTACTCTCAGCAGACTTCGGCTATGCACCAGGATATCCTTCGGGAGATGAGGGCGGAGATTTTGAATGTAAAGAAGGATTCTATGTCATGGCAGACTGAAGCTGCACGGAGCCAGGAGGTGAGCAGTCTTTCTCTCCAGATTGAGATCGTTCTAATGAATTGGGTAGTCCTTAATCAGGGATCTCGAGCATTCTGTCAGGATGCTGTCCGACCAAGTCAAGTTCTTATCGTTGAATTCAGCTGCCAATCATCGGATAGCAACTGGCAGTTCTCCCGTTCCTAGCGTCTCAAACATGAGTTCTATGAGTCAAGGCATGCACCGCTCCCAGAACCTCCCTCCTGCAACGACGCAGGCTCCAGTATACAGCTCTCAGTCTCTCGGTTCATTCTCCCAACAACCACAGCCATCGCAGATGCACACACACGCTACGTGGTACCCTTCAACGATTGCTGCGCCTCAAGCGTCTCACCCCATCGCGCCTCCTCAACCCCCTCCCCCACCACCGTTGTCCCAGCGATCTCCTCCCGCTCAACATGATGCATGGGAAGATACGTATATGGCGGTTCTGGGTACGCAGGATCCGAAGCAGCTTAGGGAGCTCCTTGCGAGGTCGAGCCCGGAGGTTGTGATGCCTATGGACAGGAAGGGGCCGTTGTCTATGGCTGTTATTTTGTCTATTTTGCATCGGGTGCGTATCCCTCGAAAATTCTTTGTTGATTGGTTTTGATATTTTTTTTTTGATTAGCTGGCTACCATAATTGCGGAGACGCCTCCTGTGGATGAAGCTTTCAAGTCTTCTTTGTGGTGGATGCAACGCACTGCTACTGTTTTGAACATTAATGTATGTCCCCCGTGGATTGTGTGGCTGAGGTACTGACGTTTTTTGTGGACTTCAGGAACCTCTGATCGCACCATACGTTGCGCGGGTAGTCCCGAATGTGAAGGCTACGCTGAATACTACCAAGCAGCGATTGACGATTCTCCCTGGTGGACCTCAGACAATGGATGCGGCGCGGACTATTTCTGAGATTCTGGATATTCTGGGTCGGAAGGGTGTGCCTGCACCGCAGGGGGGTCTTTGATGGTTGATTCTTGTCTCCGAGGGTTGTCCTGAGGACTGCCCTATTCGCATGCAAATAAAAACATGAAAACATACTCCAACGCGATGCACACCACCGTTCCTTTTACTCCGTTTCTTTTCCCTAGTGATGATGAATATTACGAATGCTGTTAGGCTCATGAGATTTTTCTTGCGCATGTTTTTTTTGGTACTGACTGTTTGACTGCTCTCCATGATACTATCATACATACTTTGTGTTTCGTTTGTTGTAGTGCAGATTTGAATCACATGTCATGATAATTCTGTTGAGCTTATGTGAGCGTAGATGGCCAAATATGAAATTCAAAATTCAGACGTAATTAGTCACTCGAACCTAATTTTCAGGACTAGTGCCAATTCGTTCCTTGCTCCGAGAACCCGTGCACATGTCTCGCCAAGGGAATATTTGCCTATCGATCGCGCGGCGCCGTGTTGTATTCGCCTCAGCTATGTGTGGCTATAACCCGTCCCATGACATATCGTGCGCCGCCGTATATTAAGTTTATTCATCTCGGTCATGGCCATGACCAAAAGTAACCCGTGTTATGATCACGATGCGTTTCTTCCTTAGTAGAAGATAGGCCGTCGGAGTCTTCTGCCTGCAGCCCGGTTACGTCTGATTGTACGTACGGGCGCCGCTCTGCTACTGACTATGGTAGACAGCCGCAGGCTTGCGCTGTCAGCAAGACCCCCATCTTAGCAATGGTACCTGCAACTACCAGAATATACTTGATTGCCCTTCATACATCCTTGGCCGGGATGCTGTGGGGGTTGGATACCGGTATGCAGTTTTATTTCGGACCTGGGTTGACGCGCATCTCTAATCAATCATGATGGTCATCTCTTTCAGGTTCAATTGGTCCTATTACCCAGATGGAACAGTTCTCCAGCTCTATCGGTCCATCTCTCCTCAGGCGTCCTCGGGATTTATGTCGCGTGTATCCTTCTCTCCGCTTCCTTGTCTTCGCTATGTAGCGGTTATACAGCTGACTTGCTATCTCGCAAGTATGGGATCCTAACAGGAGGCATCATAGTCCTCCTAGGAACGATCATCTCCGCCTCTGCGAAAACTTTCCCTGTTCTCGTATGCGCACGGCTGATAACGGGAATTGGACAGGGTCAGAGTATCTCCGTCGTTACCATTTACCTCTGCGAGATTTCTCCAGGAGAGATCAGAGGAACGGTTGCGGCGGTGCTACAGTTGCTTATCACTGTCGGGATCGCTTTGGGGTATTTTGTTGCGTATGCCTCTTCGAGAATTGGGGGTGAGTTGGCTTGGAGGACACCGTTTATTTTGGAAGCGAGTATGGCTGCAGTTTTTGTCTCTGGGATGGCTTTCATGCCGTATTCTCCGCGGTGGCTCATCCAGAGGGGGAGGATAGATGAAGCTCGTGCAGTTCTCCAGAAGCTCCGTGCTAGCAGCGAGCTTGTAGAAGACGAGCTGTGTCTTATAAAAGGTAGTCTCGAGGAGCAGAGCCAGGAAGATGCTTCTTATCGTGAGATATTCCAAAAGCGTTATATCAGACGGAGCATTCTCGGTGTGTTTCTGATGTCTTCCCAAATGTTGTGTGGGGTATGTGTTGTCCTGTACGACAGACGATGAGGCCCGAGGAGTCTCGATTGACACCCCTGTCTGTAGATCGATGCGGTCCTTTATTACGCTCCGATCCTGTTCACTCAAGCTGGTTTTACATCAAATCGAGCAGCATTCCTTGCGTCTGGTGTTTCCGGAATAATCAATTTGATATTTACGATACCTGCTCAACTGTGGGTCGACAAGTGGGGGCGAAGATTTCCTCTGATCGGTGGCGGTGTTTCTATTGCTACTTGCTTCATGGCCATCGGTACCTTGTATGCGATCTATGGCGGAAAAGCCGATGGACAGGTGTACTTGACTGGCAAAGGACCGCAATGGGCCGTCATCATACTCATATACATGTTTGTGGTATGTATCGCGCATCTCAAACCACCCATAAAGTACTAAATGAGCTGTACCCCAGGCGAGTTTCTCATGCTCATGGGCTGTGGTAGGCTGATTCAAAGTCATTCACCACGCGCGAGTTAACTCCTCCAGGTTATTAAGATATACGCATGCGAGATAATACCCACACGGCTTCGCGCAAAAGCATGTGCTGTCCAGCAGGTAGGTTACGTACTCTTCTCGCTTGCCCGCACATGATATCTGACGTCTATCAGCTCAGCAATTGGCTCGTGAATTTCACTGTTGCGCTTACTACGCCGCTTTTTCTACGGGCTTCTCCAAGCGGTCCATATTTCCTCTTTGGATCAGCGGCGCTGTTCACCGCGGTCGTCTGCCATTTCTTGATGCCGGAGACTAAAGGGAAGAGCTTGGAAGAGATTGAGGACTTGTTTGAGATGACACCTCAGGTGGTGGGTCACTCTGTATCGATAATGACATGATTGTCTCTGGTTTGTGAATTTCGTTACGCATCTTCGTTCTGTATTTCATATCATTTTGGTAACGCCCAGTATGCCACATACATTTTCTATCAATGGAGCGGGAGATACAAGAGTTCACGGCATATTTGGATCGAGACAGTTGTGAAACTGAAGTAGTCAAGACTGTCGTCCGCTCACCCATTACGCCAAAAAGCAGTGATACTGAAAGTTCATGCGTGCATGCTTCAGTATCTCGAATGCCAAGAATAATGTTGAGCGAGGACTCAGGAGAGTGTAAGCGCAATGTCACGACGTGACCGTACCAGGAAACTGTACTTCGTGGCGGTGCACATGGTGCAGAATTATGTCAAGTACTGCAGTGACAGCAGCCGTACTCTTCGAAAAGTCTTCCAAGCTGTACATGTACATGGCTACATTTTTAGGGTGTGTTTATATCCATGAAATATTTATAGACTTACAGTCTACCATGCACATTCTAGATTGTATATCCTCTGACCCTAGCCCGTCTGCCGAATGATACCTAGCTTTTCGCTGCAACGTCAATTGACATCCCTCTCCGGGCTCCCGAGTCCATCCTCCAGCGTAAACAATTAGTCATGGACAATTGACGGTGCTGCCAGTGTTATGAATCAATAATCCTGGCAGATGTGACCTAGCATGAGGCTACAATACCTAGAACCGGTGGATTCACTGATGTCAGAGGACTGGTGAGGAAGTTATATCGTCTTATATACCATCACATGACAATTTATTTTCGTAGCTAAAATCACATAAGTATTACGACGTCAAGGCTCGCGAACAACGTAACGTACCCCAAAGGACTCAGATCGGTTCCCTGATGTGACGTGTCGCGAAGCAGATAGTTTGCAAGCCTTGCTGTTGCGTTTACCTCCCTCCTCCTAACAATGCCCGTTCTCAATGATACACAAACGGGTGGCGCCATCGGTGTGGTCGACGACTTGCTCACTGGTGTACCCTGTCCGAGTCATAGCCGTGATAACATCGAAAGGAAATTGGTGAGGAAAATTGATTTGCGTATGTCCGTGATATTGCTTTTGTATACCATGAACATGGTGAGTCTGAGGTTTTTGCAAAACTCTACTCGGATACTTGCCGTGCATCTTAGATCGACAGATCAAACGTTAGGTACGTTGATAATCGTCGAACTTGCATTGATCTCATGACATCCATAGCAATGCTCGGCTACAAGGTTTTGAGAAAGACCTGCACCTGCGGGGGCAACAATATGCCACGGTCTTGTCCATCCTATATGTTGGATTCCTTATCATGCAAGTGCCAGGGCGAGTTGTCTACTTTATCGAGGGACAGGTGAACGTGAATTCAATTTAGGAACATGTTTCTGCACTGGCTGGAGAGACCCGCTGTCTTCATTCCGTCTTGTATGATAGCATGGGGTGCAATATCAGTATTGACCGGTCTGTCGACGCTAATCGTTCATGAATATCGCTGCTAATTCTGTATAGGGACCACAACGAAGTACAAATTCTAGTCTCGCATCATTTTAATCTCTGATAGCCAGACCCAAGTTATACCGGAGTTTTGGTCGCACGGTTCTTTCTCGGCTTTGTCGAAGCCCCCTTCCTCCCTGGCGACCTATTTCTTATATCTGGATGGTACAAACGGGACGAGCTCGCCATGAGAACGGCTCTTCTTTTTTCTGGATTTTTATTCAGCTCTGCATTCGGATCGCTTTTTGCATCTGGTATACTTCATGGCATGCAGGGCAAACTTGGTCAAGCTGCATGGAGGCAAGCAACGATAGCCTCTGTCACTCCTAGAACTGAATGGTTTGTAGATGGTTGTTTTACATTGAAGGCGGCGTCACCATCTTTATCGCGATTTGCGCGATATTCATACTCCCTAATTTCCCGCACAACACTAGGTGGCTCACCCCAGAGGAAAGATCACTTGCCATTTCTCGCCTTCTGGAAGATGGCTATGGTAAGGCTGACGGAAGTGGGAAACAGACGACCATACAAGGACTGTGGGATGCTGTATTTGACTGGAAGGTGTGGTGGTTTTCAGTTGCGTTCATGTTCCAGTACATAGCACATTCTTTTATGGGTTACTTCCCGACGCTATGCTCAACACTGGGATACGACACGACTACAACGTTGCTACTCTGCGCTCCCCCGTGGGCGTTCGCGACTATAGTGGCATTTGCTCTTACATGGTCCGTCAACCATTTTTATCGGAAATCGCGTCTCATGGGAATCAGGTACTCTGACAAGAAGCAGAGGCGTTACAAATACTTTGCTGCCTCCAATGCACTCGGTACCCTTGCATTCATCATATCGATCTTTACGATGAACAAAGCTGCGCGCTATATTTCGTTGTAATTAAGCCCCTACTCATGAAGCATTACTTGTTGTACTCAGAGACACACAGGTTCCTGATGGCTCAGCTCATCGCTGGATATCTGGTGCTCTGGGGGTGGGTCAACAACACTTTCGCCAGAGAACCTGCGAAGCGAGCCGTTGCTATTGCTTTGATTAACACAATAGGGCAGATAGGCAATATTGTTGGACCGTCTGTAACATTATCGTCGATTTCTTGCTCTTGCTGATTATGCACAACTGCACTTCTCTAATAGGTACGCATGGCCGTCGAAATGGGGCCCAACATATCGTTATTCCTATGCCGTCAGCATCGCGGCAATTGGGGTTTCCACAACCATGTTCGGTGGGATGCATCTTTATTTGAAGCATCTGAATGAGCAGATTGAGAGGAACGAGAATGTGAAAGGTATTGAAGAGCTTCGGGGCCCGGTCGGTTTTAGATATTTGGTGTAGTTGAGGACAGATCGTTTCTGACCGCGCGTTTTTTGCTCTTTGTCCGCTGAAGCGCGAGGGGGCCTATCTTAGACATTATTTTTTGAAATGTAAAAGTGATTGGATCTAGAAGCTGGACAAGCGGATATAGTCATGCTCAAGCGCTCATGGTGTGCGTTCTAGTGAGTCCCCTGGCCTGGATGAAACATTCATCTGGAAACGTAATTAAGGGGCTTTCGGAACAGTTCCTATGAAAAGTACCACAGTAAGGGTCGGTAACCACGCACCTCATCGGCTGCAGGGGTGAACAAAATCTCGCGATCAACCGACGATCAATAGAAAGTCGTGGCAAATGTGACAGGGTTGATATAGAACACGAAGTCGCGGAGAACATCGATTGACTATGCATGTGGAATGTTGATTTATCGTGGATCTTCCGAACGCACCATCAAATACACGGGAAGTTCTAATATGCATTTCCGTTCGTAGGAGCTTGGCACCAGTGGCAGCGCTCGACTTTGGGAACATCCTGTCCTTCCATCATGTTCAGCTCATGTTAACTCATATTAATCTTGGCTATCGGTGGCAGGCTGGCAGGGGCAGTGCTGGCGTCTACAAAACAGCCTCAAGGACTTGCCCCGGGGGATCCCTTGCGCCTACCGTGGCCTGCCCACAGATGAGCGTCTTAAAGACTCCGCGAGACAAGATCTTCAATGGCATATATAAGGATATATTCGTAAAGCGATAAGGAGAGCTGTACGGTATACCGCCCACAACTCACATGAGTAGGATCCGAGCAGAGGTGACCGCACACCAGGTCAAACAAAGCCTCGTGTCACGAATCACCAACTTGCACGACATTAATTACTACTATGGTCTGCATTTTGAAAATTCCGATTACAGTAAGTTGAAAGGCTGCAATTTTTGCTCATTTAAGTCTAGTAGTATGAGTGGATTCATAACGTGGGCCCGCATACTGAGACTATGCCAATGGCAAAAGACGATCGAATTGCGAGTCTACTAGCTAACATATCGTACTAGCCGTGTCATCCAAACCTTGATCTACACCAAACCAAGTCATCATACATCTTCAATGCACGCAGAACGCATTCCACCCGGGTCGTCGGCGGGTTTTTGTAGACTCGTAACCAGTCTGTACTAAGTCTAGGGTTTGTGCGGCATCCCTACAAAACGAATTGAGACAGGTCGAAACAAGGGTGTGATTCGCTTACGGTTCGGGCACGCAATTGAAAACGTGGAGCGTAAGGAGTCCATTGAAAACGAAGGCCGAACAACCTGTGGCTGTTATGACTTGGACCGGGACATTTCCAGAGCAGAAGCAAGCGATAAAGAGAGCTACACCAAAGAAAATCTCATGCATCATCGACAGGAACACTTCTGCTAACTCACTTACACACAAACAAACAGCAAGCGGCGACTGCCAGACAAATTGAGGGGTGTGCCAACCACAACAACAGGCAGATAATTTGGCATCGTGACATGTCCTGCAGCAAGCGTCAAACCATGCAACACCCCAAATAAAGAGAGCTCACTCTGAGGTGTTCCATGTCTTTATGAACAGTGCTAGTTTGATAGATGACCACGACCGCAGCTCCCGATATTACACTGAGCAATGCAGCACTAAATGCAATCATGGCGAAGACATAGGAGGCTGCAGTGTCAAGAACCATCAAGCTAGTTACAGGAGAGCTCGTCGTCAGGAGCAAAGCAGTAGTTGCGAGTACCAGCCCAGCCTAAATTCCAATTGTTTAATGTTAGTGACAACGACCAGATCGTATCAAACACACAGTGACGTTTGAGTTCTGGAAGCGATTGACCATCACTGAGACATGTTCTTTCCATTCTTCGTTATTTGTGTCTCTCCAGTGTTCGAGGGACGTCCGAGAGACTGCAACAACGCACATGATTTTGAACGCTGACTTCAGAATAGGATGAGTGGGAGGCGCAAAGTTTTTCAGGACTTGAGAGGCTGAGCGACTTGAAGTATCATTAGACATCGTTTCATCAATGGTAGAGCTCATAATGTGAGTGTTCAAGTTGTGGAGTTGAGACGTTATTGAATGGACGTACAGGACAACCCTTATACTTGCACATGTCCGTGGTTCCAGATTCGGGGGCAATGCTTGCAAGAATGCATCGAGAAACCGATCTGCAGGATCAGTGACCATGCTGAGTACATGACAATGTACATGAATGCTGAGCGCTGAGCTCGAATCCACCAATGAGAATCTCGCTTGAGCGCTACTTGGAAGTCTGCGATATCACCGCTTTCATATAAGAATCCACCAAAACTTCCTAAAAAAGCGATCTTGACCCAGGATCATTGTGGCGTCCTTGTCTGTCGAAATTGAGTGGCTGGACAGCAACGTTGTCCTATCCTGTGCACACTGCGAGGAATATCTATTTTACAACGTACTTGCTGTGTAGACAGTTTCGCATGGGCGATCAGGAGGTGGTGTGGCATATGGATACTAGGTTAAGGAGACATGGCAATTTCTTCGAGAAAGCGATGCTGCTACTCCACGGACCGATACGTACAACCCGAAGCATCCAAACCCTGAGTGGTCTATAACAATTATCATGCCCAGTCATCCCTGTCAGAGCCGAAGACATGCACCTATACTGGCATGATGCCTGTCAGCAACTTGTGTGGGTGAGGTTTTTTTGATCATCGACCCGCCTGTAAAGTATAATTAGACTGGCGAATCCAACAAGAGTGCTACAAAGTTACTTTTCGCCCACAACGCTGAAAACGTAGAGCGTAAGGCCTCCGTTTGAAAGGAAGGCCAAACAAGCCAAGGTGGTGATGGTGTTGACAGCACTATTGCCAGACCAAAAGCAAGCGATAAAGATAGCTGTGGACCAAAGCAAACGCCATACTCGTCAGCATATCTAAACAACATCTAGTGCCTCACTCACACACAAACAAACAGCAAGAAGCGATTGACAGACAGACTGAGGGGTATGCCAACCATAGCAGCAGCGCGATGACTTGGTGTCGTGGCATGCGCTGTGCCGTGTGTCAGATTGTGGGTCAGTCCAGACAAACAGACTCACTTTGAGGGTTTCCATGTCTTTGTGAGCGGTGCTAGTTTCATAGATAACAAGCACAGCAGATCCGGATATCACGCTGAGCAATGCGGCACCGAATGAAACCATGGCGAAGATGTACGAGATTGAGAAGTTATAAGCCATCAAATGCTCGATAGGAGGCACGGACGACAGGAATAGAGTAGCAGTTGCGAGTACGAGCCCGGCCTGAAGTCCAGTTTTTGAACACTAGCCATAAACATCGGATCATATCAAACATACAGTGATATTTGTGTTCTGAAATCGATTGACCATTATTGAGACATGGTCCTTCCATTCTTTTTTCTTTGTATCTTCCCAATGGTCGAGAGACTCCCGAGAGACCGCAATAACGCACAAGATTTTGAACGCCAGCCTCAGGATAGAATTATTGGGAGCTTGATAGCCGGTTTCAGGGGAGGAGTTTACAGGCATGGCCGTCGTCGTGGTGGGAATGACTAGAGCTGCTTTTGAAAGCTGGCATCCAGAAGAGGGCACCCATAAGACTATATATTATTAGTATAACGTTTATGCACAGTATACTATTCCACAGACCAGAAGCAAACTTTGCAAGAACGACCCGGATCAGAACACTAGATCACTGCGTGCAGAACTCGTGTTCGGAAAGATCGCGAGAATGGAATGTTGCATATTGGCATGAGGTCTGATTGCCGTGGGGAGACCTAGTTGACTCGTGAATCAAATTCTGATAATAGTTTAGGAGTTGCGCTCAAACCTACGGGCGCCGGTCTTCCTGAGCGCTTACCACCTTGCTTGCAAAGTCACAGCCGGTCAGATAGGATCGTCATCCCCGACTCCCACGAAGTGGGAGAAGGGTTTTGTCAGACGCAAACATGCTCATTTTTCTGTCAATGGACGTGTCGTGGGAATTGATTACGTACATAACTGAGACATTTACGATTCACTGTCTTTGTTCATTTATTTTCACCGCCTTCAGCCTTCTCCGTACTCTCGACCCAATATTGCCTATCGTCTTTTTTTACCTCCGGTGCCCTGTGGTGGGACTCGTACATTGTGATGTTAGCTTAGGCCTGACTGACTGTTATATCCATGAATGGGAGGACTTAGACGAGCCCATGAGAATTCGCATGGAAATTGTGAGAGTACAAGAAACGATCAAGGTATCTTAAGAAGAAAGGGAGAAAGGTTTCGGAAATGTTCGCGCGCTCGCGTGGTTTTCGCGTAGCGCCATGTGGTTTTCGTTTAGATACGCTTAGATACGCTTAGATACGCTTAGATTCGCCTAAGGCCACATGGTTTTCGCTTACCTCGCTTGAACTTCTATTTGGAAACTCGCGTGGTTTTCATGTATATTTCGAGCGGCGACTCAAACAATGTCACCCATTGGGAATGTTGCGCAACAACATTGGTAACTGTATGTGTACATGGCATTAAATAATGTGTTTGAGCAGGGGGACAACAGGATTTGAGTGTTTTGCCTACTGCAATTATTAGTAGTGACTGTATATGTACATAAATGGAACAACATATGATACAATTACATACAGGGAGATAACAAATGTGGTGACAGGAGATAAGATTCAAATAAAAAAAGGAGACAAAGACAATGTAGACTCAAAAACCAGAGAATGTGATGACAGGAAAATGGGGAAATGGGAGAACAGGAGACAGGAGATGGGAGACTGAGAGAACAGAGATGGGAGACGGGAGACGGGAGACGGGAGACGGGAGACGGGAGACAGGAGACAGGAGACGGGAGACAGGAGACAGGAGACAGGAGACAGGAGTAGGAAGTAGGGAGTAGGGAGTAGGGAGTAGGGATTAGCATGGGTATACCCCATGGTAACATTTTTTCCAATCACATATATTACCATTTGAAGGCACATGTACAACTTCAAAATTTTATACTGATCCATCACTCCTATGGTAATCAATTTGGAGGTATATTCCCAGGGGTACAGGGGTCTTCAGATCCAAACCCCTACCCCTACCCTCAAGGGTTTCCCATACCCCTGCTGATCCCTAGATGGGAAGCAGGGAAAAATGGGAAAACAAATACATTCAATGATACTGTTACATATTTTGTATTTTTATATTGGTCAAAATCCTGCTCAAAGAACATAGCACTGACTGATTGTATGTAGTACTATGTACTTTTATGTGGTGTGATAGATTGTACTTTGAGTTTTTTTGAAAAGCTGCTCATAAATATATTTCAAAATCATTCAAAATGCACAATTTATTAGGATGCAGCCTGAGGCCAGGAAGCCAAAGGAGGGCGTAGCCCTCCTTGGCTTCCTGTGACGAAGGAACAACACTCATTTTTCTCCCCTGAAGGAGCGCGTAGCGCTCCTTTGATTTGTGCCGAAGGCACAACGGGCGTGAGCTCGTCTTAAGAAGAAAGGGAGAAAGGTTTCGGAAATGTTCGCGCGCTCGCGTGGTTTGCGCTTACGCTGCGTAGATACGCTTAAAGCCACATGGCTTTCGCTTACCTCGCTTAAACCTGTTTTTGGAATCTCGCGTGGCTTTGTCACGTGTTTTCGAGCGCCGACTGAACTGCCGTTGCCCATTACAGCAGCACACTACGCAGGATTCTCCCTATTGTAATTGTTTAGGGTACATACATACAGTAAATAATAAAACTAAAATGGAACAACAAATACATGTGGTGACAGGAAATGAATGACAAAAGGTTGTGAAAAAATAAATCAAAAGGAAACATTGATAATATAGAAACTCAAATAGAAACTCAAAAACTGGAGAATGGGAGGACAGAAAATTGGGAACAGGAAACAGGGAGAATGGGAAATGGGAGAACAGGAGATGGGAGGATGGGAGGATGGAAAAATGGGATACTGGGATACTGGGAGACGGGAGACAGGAGACGGAAGACGGGAGACAGGAGATGGGAGACGGGAGACGGGAGACGGGAGACGGGAGACGGGAGACGGGAGACGGGAGACGGGAGACGGGAGACGGGAGACGGGATTAGCATGGGTATACCCTGGGGTAGTGATGTCTCAGCTCCAAGCTGCATTTTTCAGAAAATGAGCATAACATGCTGAATAAAATTCCTAAATTCATGAAGATATTTATGGACATAGATTGAGCCAAAAGCCGAGAGGCATCTAAGGGGAATTCGTACTGTGATGCATCATTGTCTTGCTATGACGAAGCTCAGCAAATGGCTTGAATTTTGAGCCATTTGCTGAGCTGCTTCATAGCAAGACAATGATGCATCACAGTACGAATTCCCCTTAGATGCCTCTCGGCTTTTGGCTCAATCTATGTCCATAAATATCTTCATGAATTTAGGAATTTTATTCAGCATGTTATGCTCATTTTCTGAAAAATGCAGCTTGGAGCTGAGACATCACTACCCCCAGGGTATCTGAGGTGACACCCTTACCCTCAGGCTTTGGGTGTGGGTTTTTGAAGGGTACCAGAGATAGATACCGTGGGTATACCCCAGGGTAACACTTTTTCCAATCACATATATATATTACCATTTGAAGGCAAATGTACAACTTCGAAATTTTATATGTATCCATCACCCCTATGGTAATCAATTTGGGGATATATTCCCAGGGGTATAAGGGTCTTCAGATACAAACCCCTACCTCTACCCTCAAGGGTTTCCCATACCCCTGCTGATCCCTAGATGGGAGACAGGAGATGGGAGGCAGGGAAAAATGGGAAAATAAATACATTCAATGATACTGTTACATATTTTGTAATTTTATGTTGTGTAGTAGATTGTATTTTACATTTGTCAACATCCTGCTCAAAGAATGTAGAACTGACTGATCTTATGTACTATGTACTTTTACATGGTGTGGTATATTTTACTTTTAGTTTTTTGTTGAAATGCTCATAAATGTATTTTCAAAATTATTCAAAATGCACAATTTATTAGGATGCAGCCTGAGGCCAGGAAGCCAAAGGAACAATGCTCATCAGGAGCCTTCAGAATTATTAGAATGAAGCTGAGGCCAGGGAGCTTAAAAAGAGCACTTCGCGCTCTTTTTTTGCAACCTGTGCCGAAGGCAGAACGGGTGTGGACTAGTCTTAAGAAGAAAGGGAGAAATGTTTGCGCGCTCGCGTGGTTTGCGCTTACACCGCGTAGATATGCTTAGATACGCTTAGATTCGCTTAAAGCCACATGGTTTTCGCTTACCTCGCTTAAAGCTCTTTTTGGAATCTCGTGTGGGCTCGCTAAAAGTAAGACTAAGACTAAGACTATAAGACTAAGATAATAAGACTAAGTAAGAAGAGTGTAAACGAACAAATTGAGTGAAATTTTTACAAGTCCGAAAACACTGCCAAACACGATATAGTGGACAGTAATCCTCACGCCTACTGCGCCGTGGGAACGCAACAGACAAACAACTCACTTTTCCTACTATATGGGAAAGGCATCGAGAATAGCAAAAGCAATAATAGAAATTTGATTACACTTTTGGTTACACAAATCATTACACGACTTGGCTGCTGCTTTTGAATAGAATTCTCGAGTTAAATTGCCTTTCCCTGCAGCCAAGTGTAATAAAGTGTGATACACTTTTGGTGGGTGTTATTTCTTATCAATGATGATAGAAATGACTTATTGATGAGTTCAGGCAAATTTTGCACTTGCTAAACAACCATTTGAATTTAACAACCATGGATGGACATATACCTATTCTGTGAGTTGCTGATATTATTGCTATGCATAAGGTGCATGATGCTAATGTCTGCACGTGCCATTTAGAAATCAAGATCAAATAACACCTGAACGCGACTGTCACTCACAACGTGAACGCGATAGACTCAATCGACTCCAGATGACATCTCCTACGAGGCGCAATCGTCGCCATGCTGCCCATGATAATCAGAATAGGCCTCCGCCTCCTGTACCCCAGCCTAATTTTGTGCCGGCTAATGAGCCCCAAGCAGGGCCTGTTCCACAACCTTTTGTGGAGCAACCTCCTCCCTACTTTCGATATCAACCGCTACCAGTCGAGCAGTATCCTGGCTTGCCACGAAATGCAATTGCGCAGGTGCAGTGTGCTCATCATCATCCTCCAGTGGATTATAACGCACGCTTGAATGAGCAAATGAATGCAGCTCATAATGATAGACGCCGTTGACGTAATATTCGTCAGCAACAGGACAGAGATGAGATAAGACAGCAGGCGCAGGCAGAACTCATGGCAGCTGGAGTGCAGCCTCCACACATACTTCCAATTCATAATCCACATGTTCAACCTGCTCCTCCTGCTCCTCCTGTGAATGGCCCTATTCATTATGAGGGTGCTGTTGGTCCTCACAACTTTGATGATCCCCTCTGCTACTTTGTGCCTAATCATGCTCCACCTATACCTGCACTACCTGGACCTGATTATCATCAGTTCAATATTCAGTTTCAAGATCATATCAATGCAGTGCAAAGAGAACATGAGCACATTAGAGATGACTTACTTCAAAGGCAAGCACAGGAGGAATTCCGTCGAAATCAAGTGCAGCTACAATTACAGCAACAAGAGGCTGAGAGGGTCCACAGACAGGCTCAATTACAGCAGGAGGAGGCTCTTCACCTGCAGCAGCAAGAAGCTGAAAGGATCCAAAGACAGGCTCTATTGCAGCAGCAGGAGGCTCTTCACCTACAGCAGCAAGAAGCCGAGAGGATTCAAAGATTAGCTCTATGGCAGCAGCAAGAGGC